TTTCTCAGTTTCGCACAGAGCTCAAGTGGCTTCCTATGCGTCTTCGCCGGAATTCTCATACACTATCCCTTCTTTATAATATTTTATTTAATCCCAGTTACCCAAACTATCTCAAAGATCGGTTCAATTTTCTCCACTCCGCAAATTCATATGCACTGCGATCATCGGAGATCTTGACTCTTGAAATTCCATCTCATTGCACTTCCTTTTTTGATTCCTCGTTTACTGTCCAAGCTGCTCATCTCTGGAATACTCTCCCAGTTTCGATCAGGAGAGCTCAATCCCTACCAACATTTAAAGTTTACGTCAAAGAATTCTACCTTTCGCAATAACTATTTTGATACTGCTGCACTGTTACTTATTCCAGATATGGTAATATGTGTATATATGTATTTATATATCGCACACCTAGATCTAAACTGAGATAACTCAAAAATGTGATTGAGTTTTGACTTAGTACAATATTCAAATTCTCTGTGATCATATGCATCTATCCAACATAACAGATTCAATAAAGGTTCGGGGATGAGCCGCTAAATAACTTTAGCTTTCTTTTGTTGAATCAACAGTGGTCGCGCTCCTGCCACGTAAACAAATGTATTATCAAACCTCCAAATTAGTTTTTTGAGTTGTCTTAGTTTAGATCTAGGTGTGCGATATGTAGTTTGTCTGTTTTTACATTCATTGTTGCACTTAATTGTATATTGTTGTTCACATGTATACCCCCTTCTCGGTTATAATGACTATCTCTTTCTCTATCCAAAGGTTGGTTACCTGGAAGAAATCGCTTTAAACGATAAGGCCGCCAAAGGTTTGCATTTTAATTAAGTTGAATTTATGTTTGTTTCTGTAAATAGTGTAATGTCAACAATAAAGAGTTATCTATCTATCTTGTTTTAGGAGGAAAGAAGCGAAGTTATAATATTTTAAGAAACCTAATTATTTAAATTTAGACTTAGGAATCAATTGTTTTTTTCAATATGGATATTTAAGTTCTTCTTGTTAAAACATTATCTTGCTTGGCTAATATCAACAATTTGAAACCGATGCTCATTGGAGTCACCTTTGCAAGAAGTAAGATTCATTTCATTCTGTTAAATGCTTGACGAGATTCTCTTGATGTTTAGGATAGATGTAGACGATAATGATTGTTATTTAAAAAAAGTTATTAACGTCTCAAAGAGCGAATATTGTGTAATTTAAAAAAGTTATTAACGTTTAAAAAAGCGTTTCTTGCGCCTAAGATTTCTAAATATTGTGCAAAACCGCATTTTTTTTTAAGTAGCAATAAAGCGATAATGGCATCCATATCGATATTACCATAACGTAATTAACAGCGCTTGTTCAATAAACTTAGTTACGCTTTCCTGTTTCGCTTTTTTTACGACTCGTTTCGAGTATTTTGATCTGAACGGAAAACATATAATTTAGGTTATTAAATTTATTTTTACTTCAGATCTTTGTAAACCTGTTTGTTAACAGTACTAAATGATTATTGTGACTCTGCAATATGACGCGAAATTTTCTGAGAAAGGATTCAAACAGCGATTTAAAACGAGTTATCCATACTGACTGAATATTTATCTTGACCAATGATCTTAACGTACAAAGCTGAATAGAAACCTAGATGAAATTCCGGAGTATGTTAATCTGCCAGGTAGAAACTAGAATACTTCGTTTTACATAGAATTTAACACCAAAAATATGTTTAATTGATTATTAGACGAGCATTATAATCGTTATAAATTTAGTTATATAAAGTGAGTAATAAAATAAAATAATACAAGAAACAATCGAATATCCTTGACTTTAGAAGTAACAGAGTGCTAATTTCATACAACGTCTTAGCACAGTGTCTTCGCTTAGACGATATGTCGCAAATTTATAATTTTTACACAGTTCACTTAGCTATATTTAAACTCCTAATGCGATCCAATTGTACGCTGTACCAAGGTATCTCACTTTGAAAAATACTTTTTACATCAGTTTATAGGAGTTGGTTAGTATATGCCTGTAAAATGAATTCTTCTGAAAGATTGGGTTTGTTGGTTTTTAGCTGCTCACTGTACTGAAAAGCTAGGTACTTTTAACCAAATTGAAACCCATAAAAACATTAAGTAATTAATAAAAGATCATCCTTAATATGTTTTTGATACAATGAATAAAGTAAATTCCTATCGTGAATATGTAGCTTATAGATTATTATGGAAATAATCTCTGACAATATGTAAAATTGCACCATTCGGCCATACTAAAAACGGGTATTCTAAGTATTTAAAAAAATCTCATTTGTAGGTTAAAAGACTTTGTTTTATACTATGTAATACCAAAAGCACCAATATTACTGTATCGAATACATGTATTTTCTCAATTCATTTTGATAGGTAAAAATATATGTATGTAAACTAGCAACAACATACAAATACCTACATTCAAAAGCGGACGCACGCTGTACGACGGACACAACAGACGGGATCATCCGATCGATTAGACACACAGATCGGCCACGCTCCCGCGATGTATTCAGTCGACTTACAATTCGCTTTCGAAATATATCTCTTCGGTATACTAATTTTAAAGTTGAAATTTTACAAGCAGCTTCTACGTTGAGCTACAATCGAGCAGATACAGTATCGATTTGGATCACCACTGCCCGTTACATGAACCACCTTCCCAATCTGATCTGGGGCCAAGACTAATAGGGTATTTTATTGAAGTAAAACTATGTTGATGTTGACCAGATATCGAGCTTTCTGTTTGAACTTCAGATTCTATAAGTAATCTTTGATATTATAAAATATATTAAATTGAAATCTTTTCTATAAACCGTCAGCAACTTTTAGATAAAATAAATATGAATATAAGAATATTCATCGAGTTGTGTTGGCACTGTTAGACCACAAAAATCCAATTCTTGAAAAACAGAAGACCCAATGGACACTCTGGTATAAATATCTGAGAAAAATTATTGTGCTTCCTATAGAACTTTGCTGGATACTATAATCGAAATAATTGCTGAAACAATTTTACAAATGTAAATTATTAGAATGACTAAAGTGTGTTAATGAATGTTCTAATAATTGGAATAAACTAATGACATTTATTGTTGCTAACATTAACCTATCCGTATGTGCCAATATTGAGATAAATATGACAAGTGAAGCATTGGAAAAGGGTTTCCAATAGATTTCAGACAAGGACAGAATGTATGCAGCTATGACATCGTCATAATCGAAAATCGTATATATAAATAATATAGAAAAAGGGAACTTAACTTTATTACCAATTCTATAATTGATTTCTTAAAATAGGTAATGGTAACTAAACAGTAACATTGTTTCTATAGCATTTTATTGAACCATTAAATAATAGTGTTTAATTGATTCCGTTTATGTAAAGGCTTTTTTATGTAGACAATCTTGGATTAAGTTTAATGATTCTATAAAAAAATAAAAATTATGGATTACGTTCTTTGATTGGCCATTAATTTGTACTTTATAGAGATTGTACTTTAATTATTTTTATTGATTACACGATGAAATTGGAATTGCTAATAATTTAAAATGAGCTTATAATTTGGCAAACATAAATATTTCAAAAATTGCCTGGTGATTAAGAAAATATCTACAATTCGACTCAATCAAGTTGGCTTATATTAAAGAAAGAAAAAAAAATATTTGTTGCGTAATTTTTCATATAATTTCACGAAAGCGCTTACTTTACATCTGCGATACCTTATCTGGTGTAAACATAAGATTATAAGAGGGGAGGGATCCAGAATGAAGATAAAATACTTTCGAGAAACTAAAATATTTGAGAGGAGAACATTTATTTCAATGTTGTAGAAAATTATATTATCACTGATCAATCATATTGTTTATTTTATTTGTTATAAAAAAACTACTATTGCGTTTTAGATAAAATTCATATAGGATCTATAAGTTGATGTAATAAAAAGAAAGAACTTTGAAAATCGGTTAACAATCTTCGTAAAAATCGGTGACCGTAGATAAAGAAAATCATTGCCATAGAACCTCTTCCATTTTGAAGGTTAAATATATTTAAAATTTTTAATCAACCTAGACAATAATTTTGTAACTTTATTTGCATTTTTTGTTTGTTGCACTGCTCTTATAAGTTCTCTGTTCATAATTCTCCGGTGGACTTGTAGAGAATGCTTAAAGCATTAAGTACGCCATTTGTACATTTTTTGATTGTGCAATAAAGCATAAACAAATAAAAAAATTGGTGTATATATTTAAAAAAAGATTATATTTAATGAATTTTGCATTCACAATGCTACACTTGAAAAATATTTTAATGAAAAAAGCTTAAAAAATATCACTTTGTCCCTGCCACTCAAATTTTTTTATGAAGAACAAATTTTTATCTTTATCGAAAGTGTAAATATTTGTAAAAATATTTATTTTGGCTGTTCGGGTGGATTGCCTGAACATTGATGAAAAATACGTTCTGTAGTAGCGAAAAAGTAACAAGTGCTTGAAAAATTCGTCAGTCCTGTTGGGTCTTGGGTAGTTCAGTGGTTAGAGTAGTCGCGTGGATTGCGAAAGGGTAAATATATTTTTATTTTAGACCGTCAAGTGGCTGCCGTCCGTCGGACGAGGGTGCCTGGTGCGGAGGCGTGGGTGGCGCACGAGCATTACGTGTGCGCGTCACCAGCGCGGGCGCAGCACCAGGTCCAGCGCACGCGCGCCGCCTGTCGCCACCGCCTCACGCGCATAGAGCGACCACACCTCCTCGGCCCGCCTCACCGCCTGCTAAACGTAAGCCATGGAGTATTTACACTGGGGGCCCATTCTACTAAATAAATTTTGTCTAAATCGAATCGAAAATGGATCGAAGCAGAACGAAACTACAGTTTTTAATGGTTTTTCTATTCTACTAAGTGACATACGATACAATTCCAGTTCTATTTTAGTTCGTTTTCCATTCGATTTAAATAAAATTTATTTAGTAGAATTGGCCCCCTGGTCGATGACATGCGCGTGCGGCGACGAGGTATGTTCTTCGGTTTTTTAGAGGTCGCCCGTTGACTATCGACCAGTGTAACTGAGCCATTACATACTAAATATAATAGTTAACTGAATTCGCAGGATTCTTGCATTCAAAGCAAAGTTACTTTATTTTTATTTGTAGTGTACACACTTTTTATTTAGTTATCTTTGTCTATTTTCTGAAAGTAAGTAAAAATATTTAATAAATAGACCTCTCAACTTTACAAACTAATTGACACCACGAATTGGACCAAGAAAATTAATCAAATCTAAATATGGCTATCGAATAAATTCAAATTACCATTTACAGTTACGAAACTTAATGGGTGACCTGAGATACCAATAGTAAATTCTCATTTGTATGTAGGTAATCATTGTAGAACATCATCTGCAATCTACTTTGAGTTTGTTAATGCCAATTTGATGGGCTACAAATTACATGTACACCATTCAAGTATACTATTTTGATCGTTGGTGAAATGCAAATGACAGTGAATAGACCATTTACATGAAGTTTTGTTATAATTGTACTCTTTAGTTCTTTCCACGTTTCTCTTCCTTAATTCTTTTTTATCTAAAGATAGGTAGTCAGTTTAGAATTAAAGTAGTCTGTTCTCTTTAATTTTTTAAATACGTCAAAACGCACTTAATATTTTTATAAGAAACAAAACAATATTATATTAACCTGATTATTAAAATGGTCAAATTCATCAAACAAAAAAGTCGTCAAATTAAACAGTGAAAACATAATGTCATTTAGATTTCCGTTTATTTGCTACCATGTTCCAATTATTTTATTTTTATGATTTTATCTCAGAAGAAATTACCTAAGCCGCTGGTTCGATTCCCGACGGAAAAAAAGAAAGTTAAGTGTTTTTGAAAATTTATTATTACTAATTTTATTCAAATACCGCATTGTATGTACACAATCATAACCACTATAATGAGATTCTTTATCGATTTAATATTTATTGTAGCAAACGTAGAGGAGACAGCAGCGTCCCCAGACTCTACTGGGCCTCAACTGAAGGCGGTGGGAGCGGTATCACCACTGACAGCGGCTAGCGCGCCCGTGCGCGGTGCTCCTGCGCAGAGCACGCACGCACTCAAACCGAAACACGAACACGTCCACCGGCCAGTGGACAACCAGCCACCAGTACAGGTTAAAACATTACCTACACATTCCCCTTCCTTATATATCTGACTACAAAACTCATAATACAAGTTAAAGACCAAGATGCCCTTAGTTTTTGAAAGTTTTACGGTCAGTTACACAACCGTTCATTAAAATTTTATGACGACTTTAATAACTAATTAATTTTGTAAATTTGTATCGGTAATGTAGCATTAAACTAATGATAATTTTAATGGACATTTGTACAAGTAACTGATAATTATAAAAATCAATTACAATGGGTTAGAATAACTCTACCTATTACTCCTAATAAGTTGAGTGCAAGATTGTAATTTAAATGTAATGTAGTTGGTGTTAATTTAGCACTTAGATGAGGTATTTCAAGGCATCAGCAAATCTCCTTAGACACTATCTTATATTAATTTTTAATGGATGATACATTCTCAGAGTGTTTTATAAGCTCTTTATCTCGAAATCATTAATATATCAGAGAGCTACAGAGAAGCAAACCAGACTTATAAAAAGTAAAATTAAAGTTTGTATATAAGTTTATTATTGTAAAGGATACAACTAAGTAATTTTGTATTTAGACATTTTATAAGATACAAATGAATATATTTTGTAATTGCTGCCCAAAGTAACTACAACACGCAGAAGAACTTGCGGCCAACAACTAGTCATATTAAAGCATAGATATTTTATTTCTAATACGTATGATGGGAGCCTACGGCCTCCTTTAAAATCTTAAATTAAAGAAATGATTATTCAAAAGTAATTAAATTACATTAAGACCTAGTTCACCATGCAGAGGTTCGCATCGCAATATCCATATAATAATATTATAGAAGTCAGTAAGTCAAGTATAAGCTCTGAGATTTTTGCGGTTTGATCTAAATAGGGTAACGTTCATCGCACAGTTAAGCACATTTTGAACAAACTTCGCCGCAGCCATTTCATTCCGCTTTTTCCTCTATTTATAGATAATTTACACGTCGTTATTGCTGTGAAAATATTACGCTTAGTTGTGGTTAATAATAAATAGAAAAATCTTTTATTAGGTAGAAACAATGACTTATTATCCACCGCTTTCCAGAGTTTCAATTTCTATATCATTAAATTAATAAATTTAGTATTCTGAACTCTGTATTGATATTTGTCTTATTTGATATTTATTTTATTCCTATTTGATATACTGAGGAGGTGCTCAATAGCACAGTGATTATCGCGTTCGCTCTGTGATGTGAAAGTTTCGCAGAGCTCATAACTTATACATGACCAAAAATGTAGTATCGAGCTTCTTCGTGCTTTTAAGGCACGTTAAGCTGTTAGTCCCACCAATTTGCAGTGGGCCCGCTTGTTTGGTCATGGCTCATTCTCCCTATTCGATTCGTTTTATTCCATCCATAAAAATTCGCCACTGAGTTGGGCTGGGAGGTTTTTTATAAACCATCCATTACATTAATTCCCTTAAATTTTTATACAGCACGCGCTAATTCATGGGGTCAACGAACTATGTGTTGTCGTCTTGTTTAGGACAACGTTTAAAACTTTCAATAAAAATTCAAATATCGATAATTTCTTCGTTCTTAATACGATCACTCAAAGAACACCAAGCACTTCTCTCTCCATTACCTGCTTAGTGACTATGACCCTTATAAGTCCTATAGTGAACGACCACGTCTTGATTTCGACACTGGTCGAAGACCATACATAAGAAATTATAATTCCAATATACAATTATTTTTTATACTCCTGAGCTGGTTATAGTATACTTTTCATCACGCTACAATCAATAGGAGCAGAGCAGTGAAGGGAAATGTTGGGAAAACGGGAGAATTTACTCCATTTTTTAAGCTTCCGTCGCGTGTGCAACCTTAATGGTTAAAGCTACCCAGAAATCATTTATAACGGAAATGTTCTCCTTAAAATTATATAAAAAATATCCCACGACGGCATATGTCTATCTTTTATGATTGACTCACAATAACAAGTGTAACTCCCGATAGCTTAGCAGTTCGAAGCTTTCTGATTGTATTTGTCTATTGTCTACTCTTACGTTTATAACACTCTCAGTCATCCCTAATTAAAAAAGTTAACAGTATTAAGTATTCCATAAAAAAGAATCATAGAAATCGGTATAGAAATATATTAGTCGAAATTGATTTTTGAGAAACACATTGGTTTAATGACATTAGTCTTCAGGTAGCTACAAAGACGAACACATGACAAAGACATGTCTTATAAAAAAACAGGAACCTAGGGTTTGTTAATGTCAAGTTAATAATTTCATTTTGTTACTATTTTATCATCCTGGACCCGATATATCTATACTAATATTATAAAGCTGAAGTGTTTGTTTGTTTGTTTGAACGCGCTAATCTCAGGAACTACTGGTTCGAATTGAAAAATTCTTTTGTGTTGAATAGACCATTTATTGAGGAAGGCTTTAGGCTATATACCATCACGCTGCAACTATTAGGAGCGAATAAATAATGGAAAACGCGGACGAAGTCGCTGGTCAACATATAACCTCCTCCTTTTCGATTTTAAAATCAGGTTAAAAATTTATAACAACATCAATGCTTACGCGCTTGCCCTTCCATCCCAAATAAATAATAACTAAAATGCACGCTATGATATAAATTTTATTTTTAAACTTTCCACTATTCCAATCAAAAGACATCAACGCTATTCGACAGCTTTCTGCTCGAAATCGAGATAAATTATCATTAAATGATCCTTATTAAATGTGGTTTCTTTTTACTTTTGGTAATAAATGCAACACACTTATAGTGTTTTTATAAAATTTAAAACTAACAAGTTTAACAATTTACCGAAGGAAGTTAAGGGGCTACGCTTACCTACAGAAAGCAATATTTGTATTGCTCGACAGTCGTCCGGTATGTAATATAAAAATTAAAACATATGATTATTCTGTGACCTTTTCTTGTCCCTCATAATTTGTCTGCTATCTTTACAGTATGCGCGCAGCTGTATAGGAAAATTCAGCAAGATTATTTCTCTTGATCTTAGTTATTAAAATAATCAAGTTATGAACTTGACGTATGTAATAATGTGAATGACTGTAATAAGTATCAGAATAACGGTTTCATATAACTACATTCGAACTCCTAGTAGTCAGCACCCAGATGATACCGTGTTGTCGTGCTTGCACGACACCACAAGATTGCGTATGCGCACGCTATCCGAATATCACAGTTACCTCATTTAATCGAATAAAAAGTTCAAATGTGAATGAAACCTTAATGTTTTAAAAAGTGTTATATATCGTTATTTTATTACGGAATAGTAAGATGCAGTAACGGATCGTTACTATGATTTTCTTGCTATAATGCATAGTAAATTAAGGTCATTTCCTGATTACTTTTGATTTTTTATCATAAAAGCAAATTTCAAAGTTCAAAATGTTACATAAACACGGTATATTTATAAAATCCATCGGTGGTTGCCATTAATTATTATCAACTCGGATCTGGTTACCGACAATTATGACAGTAATTATCGCGTAACGGCGAAAGTGTTGCTGCCGTGAAAAAAATAAATTACCATTGTGTTTACCCACTCCCACGATTTTGTGATAGGGAAAATCGTAATCTGTGGGAAGTTTTTAAAACTAAAGCGAAAGCGATGCGACAAAGGCACGTACCTATTGGCTGTTCGTTGTCGTCGACTGGTTTCATAAGTAATTAAACATTTGTTTCCTATATAATTTTGATGGATGATGAACTAGTTTCTAATACGGAATTCCGAATTAATTAACTAATTGTCTCTAGACCACCCCCACTAAATGTCTATAGTCTCATTCAGAGTTCAGGTTTTCACAAAAATGTAAATTAAAATCCAGAAATTTAAAAATTAACATCTTCTAAAATTTCCGGGTTTGAGCACGTGTTGGTTTTTATAGTTTGCTGCATTTTAGTATTACTCAAATGAAAACTAAAGCATTCATTGCAATTTTCCTGGGCACTAGATGGGTAATGCGCACATAAATAACATATAAATATAATATTTTCTAGAATGGAGTGCGTGAGTGCAACAGCAGTTCTGACGAGAACAGGTCCTCAGGCCATGCATCTATGTCGGACAGCGGCGGCGGGGGAGACACGGCACGAGAAGAGCCGCGTCGAACCCGGCAACCACCCCATAGCAGAACCAAACATCGGCCACACAACAAAGTAAATAATTACATATCAACAAAATTTTATATATAAGGTGAAATGCAAAATAGTATGAAACGGTTGATTATTTTTTTGTAAATTCAGTTTCCTCCCATAGTAAAAGTTGATCAGTATACTTAACTTATCCATCTTTCAAAGTCCTGGCATAAAATAATATTAAACCTTATATATATACGAATATTTTATATATATTCGTATCACCTCTCCTTATTTAAACTAGTCTGTAGCTATGCCTGAAGGATAGATAATGTTTAAGTTTAAATTCAAATATAAATAGCTTCTTTCAAATAATATCTGAGATGAGAGATTTGGGTGTTACGTCAAACAATGAATTGCTTTTCTCATCTCATATCAAAAAATTACAGATAAGGCTTACAAAATTTTAAGTTTCATATTTCGTCAGAGTAAAGACTTTATGAATGTGGAAACAGTATTACTTTTATATAATAGCTTTGTAAGATCTCAACTTGAATATACGTCTTCTGTTTGGACCCCGCCAGTATTCAATATATATAAAAGCTGCAGAAGAAATTCAAAACAAATTTATTAGAAGGCTGAAGTACAGGTTTCAGGGATTTATTAGAAGTACAGGCGAGTACAAAGCTGAATCAATTTGGCATAGAAGGGATCATAGCAGACTTAACATTATTATATAAAGTCATCAACGATCACGTTGATTCTCCTTATTTACTCAGTAAAATTCTACAAAGTGCCCAAGGAGTAACCTGCGTTCTACGATAATTAATTTATATATAAATATTGTATTGTAGAAGTTGATCTCAGACTGTAGAGTAGAGTATTTTAAATGTGTTTTCGTTGTTAATAATTTAATAAACTGTTACATTAAATAATGGCGTCAACTTTTTTTTTCTGGTTTATTGTGTTACTTTGAACATATGTCTCAATTATTTAGTCTTAAAGACAGATGTAAGTGATTATAAAACTTAAATCTAATCCATAGTTGAGTTCATACATAAAAAAAAAATAAAAAAAAATCCGCTGAATTTAAAAATTTAATGTTTCGCTAAGTGTCGCGAAGACGATCCAATTCAACCATCCACGGACAGTCATCAAACTGTTTGTATACAGTTACAGTCACCGTGGCCGGGGGGCGGCGGATTGGAGGACATCAGGTCCGCGATCAAGCAGCTGACGCTGCGGTCCCGCGACAGCAGCAGCACCGCCACTAGCGGCGCGTCCAGCGGAGGCGGCGGCAGTAACAACGGAGCCACGGGTAAAATTCGTTTTATGAAAGAATTTTTCATATCCATGAAGATTATCTATGCATCAAAGACAGGGTCATGTCCTATTTCCGTTGCATCATAAATTATCATGAAATTCCTTTCGTATTGTCATAATAATCATCAGTCCTCTTACTTCTTCTGCTCTGCAGGGGCCCAGGACTTCCTTATGGATGGTTAAGAAGTTGGGCCATGACCCTCTACGCTGGCCCAATGCGGATTGGAGGGTATTAACGACTGCAAAGAGCTTAATGTGCCTTCCGAAGCACGGAGTAGCTCGAGATATTAATTTTTTGGTCACCCATCTCGTGACATCTGTCGCTTAACAACGACCGCAGACCGCGACGCTTATCCAATACGCCACCGAGCTACTCGTATTGGCATTTCGAAAATAAATGAAAATTCATTTTTGGACAAACAGAATAGGCTATCAGGTGTCAGAGGAGCTCGGTGGCGCAGTAGTTAACGCGCTCAGATTGCGATACGATTGTTAAGTAAATTTATAATCTCGAACTCTCCCGTGCTTCGGAAGGCACACCAAGTCGTTGGTTCCAGCTGCATTTACAGTGGTTAATACCCACCAATCCGCACTGGGCCCGCGTGGTAGGTCATGGCCCTTTCTCCCTGTTAGACTTTGGGGCCATTAATAGGCTGGTGATGATGTCAGGTGTCATGTTAATTCGTACGATTATTATTTTGGTATTGTTCTGTAGAGACTGGCAGCGCGGCAGAAGCACGCCGCCGACGCGCGCCTCTAGTGAGACAGCCTTCTCTCGACACCGTATGCACCAACGTCACCAGTGCTGACGAGTTCGTCTGGGTCGACTCACATAACAGGTCAACATTCTTATTTACCCCTTCTGTTTCTTTAATCTACACTTATAATAAATATTATAAAGAGGAAAAGTTTCTTTGTTTAGACTTTAGATTAAATAGGCATCAAAACTACTGGACTGATATTAAAAATTCTTTCACCTATGGGCACCTACAATTTACGCGTGCGGAGTCGCGGAAAAACAGCTAGTTATAAATATAATGGATGAACTTTATGTTTGCCTAGATATTACAAACGTACGAAATTTAAAACAAGACTCTCAAGCCATCCAAATGAATTTGCAGTGCAGCTTACTAACTTACGTAGCTGTGCACAGACTAATAAGGCCTTAAACTGGATAGACCTGCATGCGTATCATGACGAACTCGAGAACGTTTTGTCTACGCCCAAATGTCTCTTTTCTCATGTGCGCCAATATGATATCTCATTCTCAACACGAGAAAGTTTCATTTGCGTGTAGACAAATCGTTTCTCGCGTTTGTAATTCTGCGCTAAAGAGTACCCATTGATGAGAGATCTTTCTATTGAGGAAGCTACTCTTACTGTCAAATACGATTTAACTAACAAATCTGTTCATAGCCACTCGAATGATCGCATGATGTATTACAAAAAAAAAATACAAAGAAATACGAGTAATTTGCTCCTACTTATGTATATCAAATGAACTCCCGTTGCAGTGAACTAATACATTGCAGGTCAATTCTGGTTATGTCTACGTTATAATAGTTTCTCAATAGAATATGGACTAGGACATTTTTTCATTGTACTATCTACCTGAACTCCAATGTTATTATATATCTATCACCATTGATGTATCAGGAAGACATTGCACTAATAATATCGAACTTTAGGTATTAGTACAATGGTAAAATGAAAGTCGTTGAGAATCTTTTGAGATACAATCGTTACGTCAACATTTGCAGAACTGGCAAGCTGGAAGAATATTGTTTGAAATATACGACAATGGAGTGATTCGTATTATAAAATATTAATTTACCTACCCAAATACAAGAGTAAAATTAAAAAACCGAGGTTCTGCTGAAGATTTCTTAAAGCAAAATCTTTAGATCCTTATTAATAATGACATTAATCATCCAAATAATGTCGTTCTACAAAAAGTAGAAGTAGTAAAAGATAATGTAGTCCTTTAAAAAATTGAGGATAAAAGAATTATCTCGAAACCTTTTCCAAAGCTTTGAACACGTACAATCTGCCACTGTAATAATATCGTTTCTACAGGTTGGTTGAACTCCGCCTTGTTCCTTGGACAGCTAGTGAAGTGAGCCGCGCCTTGCAAGTGGGCCGGTGTAAAGAAATAGCCCACAAGATGGCCCCTGATGCTCCACCAAGACTAGCATATTTATTGCAGAGGTAAATATCCAGTTCTTAAATATCAGGTTCGCCTTCCTCGTGACAATTTACTAATTTTACTTGTTTCGGTGTACTGCTGCTACATATCTGTCACATTACACCTGGATCAATTTAACAATCACGGGCTGCTATCAACTGATCTTTAAACTGAAATCAGAAATGAAAACCTGTTTAAGTAACCTTTAACTATTTGAGACGTGCTTTACTTTAAATACAATTCAGAAACCGGGCGTAACAAGATTTATGCCATCATCCATAACAATCCTATTGATTACGTATAGAACAGTATGAAACCTACTTTATTAATTATGATTAAGATTTGTCTGTTAAAGGGCGTTAGTGAGGATATCCAGGGAAGCGCAACGTCTCGCCCAGAACTTCGGCTTCTGTTCGAAACACGAGGTGGCGGGAGCCTTCAGGATTGTACTCAGCACGCCATTAGCTGATACTTGTATTAAGGTATTAGAAAGCCCGTTATATGATATTTTAATGTTAAATGGGTATCAGCTTGCCCAAATCGTATAAATGATAATAGAATATTGTTTACATTTTTTTATTAAAACTTGTTGCATAGAGAAAATAATTTTGCATTCACTAGTCCAGTATAGCAATACTGAACCGGATCTCAACTGTTTTATTAGGCTTGGAGTTGTTTGGCTTTGATAAGCATTTTTTATTAAGAATATAATGACGTCGTTCAAAAAGGGACATATTTGTTTTTTACTAAAGTAAGACAGAAAATCAACAACGTACTCATAGCTGTAAACGTTGCACGTTACTTTTATCTAAAAACATGGCTGTACGTGTTTTGTAGTAACACTCAATGGGTAAACATAGCAAATTAAACTATTGCATGATTTGTTAAAATAATTTGTTTCGTATAGGGTTGCCAGCGTGCCGCCACGATGTACGCAACGTCCGGTAGCGCAGCACGGCGTCTAGGTTCAGCTGCACGCGCGCGCACATCCCTTGCGCCCGGACGTTTCCAACGCTGGATGCTCGACGTGCGCGTCGCTTCCTTTGTGCACGAGTACATATCAATTCATATTTCACTAAACATTCCATATATTGATATAAGAGCATATTATATGATAATATATCACATGCTCGGTAGCAGTGGTAGATAAGCGCCGTGGCCTGCAATCGTTGTTGTTAAGCAACTTTCGCAAGAGTCGTTCACGGGCTGGGTGACCAAAAGTTATTATCCGTGCCTTGGAAAGCACGTGAAGTGGTTGATCCTGTCTGCATTTGCAGATGTTAATACATTCCAACCCGCACTGGCCTGGGTCACGGCCCACCCTCATTAACCACCCATAAGGAAGGCCTTGGCCCCTGCGATAAAGATGTAAAAGGGCTAATGATGATGATATCATGTACTAGAGTTGTGTGTCAAAAGTTTAATTTTTGCCAAATCATGCCATTTAAGATAATATAAATGTATTTTAACTAAAGACCAACGTGCAATTCGTAACAGGTATGCAGCGATCTACTTGTGTGCTGGTATGGAGACACTATTAGAAGAGATAGCTCTAATTGCGGGTAGTAGTGCTGGAAACGGACCTATTACTCCTGCGGCAGTAGACCACGCCGTCGCAAATTGTGCGGATCTGTGGGGTCTGCTACAGCCCTACAGTCATTTGAACGCTGGCAGGGTTGCTTCTGGTCAGTTTATACTATATTATTCTTATAGATGCGAGATACAATACCAATTTTTCTTTATAAATCGAAATTATTATCCTTCATTATATTTGTTCCTAATACAGGTGCATTATCACTGTCGCGTTGGGAGTCCATGAGCTCACTGGGCTCTGGTTCTTCATCAGGGGTGTCTCGACCGGAGAATAGACAACTCGGACTCAGCCACGACTCCGGCATCACAACCAATGGGTCCGGTTAGTGTTTTTTCATTATGTATTCAAGCATATTCTAGTAATCGCTCCTCAAAGACATGATTACAATTCTAATAACAATATCTTGCATTATATTGTTATCGGTACCTAACAGTTGAGGTCACTTTTGAAAATACCTCTACCAGTATCATGCATACCAATTACTGTAAATATCGTGCTTATTGTTAAAACGTGATGCTTAGTAATTACTGTCTGCACCATTCATTATGAATATATTATTGATACCTTAAGAAAAGGAATACGACCGCCGAGCTATCGAAGATGTAGCCTATGTAAGTCCACTAAATTATCGACTCTTCAGTCTTGGATTACTTACTAAGGTTAATTAATAAGCATTTAAATTTTGAATCATAGCAAATATTGATGAAACCAACTCTTGTAGGCCTTATTTCCAAAAAATTTTTAAGCTTACCGTGCATGTAATATACATGTAGTTTGCAAATTTGTTCACAAATATCCTGAATTTTCACGTAGAATATATTCTAAATATGATCTTAGAAACAAAAACAGAATAAACTTACCATATTCCCGCCTAAAAATGCACTCGTCTGGTCCATTAGTCATATCCATGAATATATATAACAAACTACCAGATTCGATAAAAAATGAAGTGTCACATATTTTTTTATTAATAAATTAAATCGATTCTATGCCATAAAAGCTATAACAGTCAGAATGAATATCTTGACGACAAAATAATATGAAAATAGTTTGCTTTATTTATATTTTTGATAACGTTATATGACTACTAATAATAATTATTAACTTACCGTTTTTTATTTTATTTCGTCTTTAACGATATAGAAGTATGTAATCAGTCAATAAATTTTATACAAATGATAATATTGCAAAATAATATAATATTAAAAAAGTTGTCTTTATTAATATTATATTATTTTATTTATAGGGTTTATATAGCAGACCAAACATTTATAATCTGAACTGGAGCTTCTACGTACTGTGGATGATACGTTAAGCCGTTCAGTCCCAGATACATTTGCAGCGTGCATTTGGCTTACCTTGTGTTTCTTTACAAGGGAAAAGCCTAAGCCTGTAGGCCGTTAAGATAAATTTCTAAAGGGCTGGTACAGAAGACTTATGCAATCGTTGGTTTGTTGTTTGATTAATAGAATATGGTTTGTTTTGTTTTGTATGACAGGCGGGTCGGGCGGATCAGGCACTTCTGGTGCATCAGGTAGTAGTGGATGTGCTTCAGTGTTGCTGACGACTTGCGCGGGATCGGCGGCTGAGTTGCGCACGGTACTGCGTCGCGTTCCCCCACGCTCGCCCCCCCTCTCACCAGCTGCTGAACGGGCACTATACTACTTTATGCGTTGTTCACAGGTAACCACCCTCTTTTGTTGAAAAATAATACTTTCCAAATGAGGATAGCTAAACTGATTGATCTGAATTCAGCGAACAGCAATTCCCTCAAGTTAAGACAGAAAAACACCTATTTTAAAGTATAATTAAAAATGTTCATCTTTAAATTTTCTAGTTATTCGTTTATACCCCTTAAAATTACAATTTTTTCATAAGTTTTAGCAAAGTCTTATTCAGCACGTGTGATCCCGCAAATCCTGGACTCTTAGGATGGGATGTGCTCAGTCCCGCAAATGCTGAGATTGAAATTTCCTTGCACGATGGCATTACCTACATTTAAGAGTCTACTCATCGCACTCCCTCCTCAACAAACATTCCGAATCAGCAGTAATGAGAATCTTGTATGTTCATACTCAGTTGGAGCACAACAGCAGCGCCTCAGGTGGCAGCTGTGGGGCAGCGGGGCTGTGGGGGGAGCGGGGGGCGGGGGCGCTGCCACCACTAGGAGAGTGGGTGCGAGCGGTACGTGCCCACGCGTCGTTACGACCTCCACCCGCCGTACCCGATGCGGACGATGTACTTCAAGCCGCCAGGTTGTTGCTGCCGCACGCTGACTGCCCACCAAGACCGATCACGTAAGACCACTACTGATATGCTGTACAGCTAATGCCGCTTCTCTTCTTTCAGAGTAGCACTTGACGACAATAATTATCTGACACTAATGCTAAAAGATCGTAACTAAAAATAATTTTGTCAGCTAACCCTTTCGTTTCATATCCATATTATGACAGTGTTTAAAAATAACTTTCATTTGATATGTTTAACATGTTAACAATTACTATGCCGCCATTTTGTCCGCTAGATTGGATTTATTATGATGTAACTTACTTAACCATGCATTTTTATTTAAACTAACTTGTGTGCTGCATATAAAAAACAACCACTCATCACTGTTTTTTTCACAGTATTGAGGAAACGATAGAGCCGGTTTGGTCACGCTGCGCCCGTTCATCAGACGAGCTGAGTAAAGTAGCGCTAGGGTTGGCACAACGCGCGCTACTAAGCGGCAGGCCAGAGCTGGTTGGAAGCGTGAGGTCCCTTCTGCCATCGGCAGGGCTCGATGCTGCCGATCCAGCAGGACTCACCGCCTTAATGAAAGCGGCATTGGCTGGAGATGACCAGATTGTAGCTGTCAGTCTTATTCATTATATTTTTTTGAAAATAAAATAGGGATATCCGCAAATCAAAGCTCTGGGCGCCAAGTAGGTGCAAATCAGAATTCTGGGCTGCCAACTTTTATAGTCAACAGTAGATCATACGAGTATGTAGGTGTTGAAGTTGTAGGAGGGGCAGCTGCGCCCCTGCCTTCCCCCGGTACGGCCCTTCATGTTTCTAAAACTTAAAAAAAAACAAAGGTCAAAGTCGACTGCTGATGGATAATATACGAAGCATGACGAACTCCAGACACGCTTTGTCCACTTTCTCAGGTTCTAACTTAAGAGTGAAATATATCTGCGCAAAAATATTTTTATATTGAACCTTAATGTCTGCCATGATATCTAAAATGATAAGAATTTTTAATACAATTCAATTCTTTATTGCAATCATCCATACAATTGACATTAACACATTTATTATAATTAAATTAACATTAAAATATAAAATAGATTTTAATTTATGATTTAATGTCACTTACATTTAATAATAATAATTACAAATGACAAAAGTGTGTCTAATGTCAGAAAATAATTAATAATGAAATGCATTAAAATAAATGTTAAAATAGTGATTAATTATTTCCTAAGATTTAAAAATTAACAAAATAATATGTCAAGTCAACGGTGTTTATATATTATATTTTTAGTAAGGAAGGATTTTCATGTGTTAAATTTTTCTTATACTTATAGATGTTGCTAGAGGCTGGTGCGGATCCGAACGTTGAATGTGGAGGTACGTGTGGCGCACACTGCACATTACCACTTTCGCCGCGCACTCCGCCCGCTCACACACAACCTGTCTACACACCGCCCACTGCTGGTAAGAGAACAATTTAAAATCAGTTTTTCAGCTCTATGAGCACAGTTGGCAATGCATTGAGGAAGTATTTTAAAAAAAACGAAAGCACTAAAAAGCACCTCCACTAGATGGCGTTTTTGCAGGAAACGAATGAACCAAAGACAGTCATTTCCGTTCTTATTAACTGACATATTAAAAAACTGAAAGATATCAATAAAAAGATACCAAAACTTAGATATCAATAAATACTTCGTCGTTGCGTTATCTGTACTTGCTTGTAAGTAAATGTATTGATTGGAAATTACACTATTAAAGAAACTAGAGCAAAACTTTTAATATATGATCGGTCCACATAATTGGTGCATGACCGCATATTTGAAGGTTTCTACTAGAGATGCGCCAAATATTCGTTTGATATTCGGTATTCAGCATATGCGGTATTTTTTCAATATTTGTATTCGGCCGAATTTTTCGGATTTCATGTCAAATATTTTCGGTTCGAGTATTTCTAATTTCTTGGTTTAACGGTATAGAACTAAAAGTCAAAACTACTTATGTAATATTTATATTATAAGTCAATGAAATCCTATGAAAAATTAGTTCAATAAAGCTAATAAAATAACGCTATCAAACTTTTAATTAACCTTTTTTTTTATTCTGTTTACGCGAAAAAACAATAAAATAGTAAACCGAAAAATTCACCCGAATATCAGATTCGGTTAAGGTTAAACTGATTACTATTCGGTTATTCGGCTAAACCACTATTCGGCGAAACACTAGTTTCTACCACTATCAGTTTTTTAGTGGTCGATATATGGTAGATTGCGTTGTTGGCATATGATTTATAATTGTTACTTCTTCAAATTTCAATGTCGATAATTTAATAAAGATGTTTATTTATAGGCTGGACGGCATTAGTGTTCGCGTGCGCGGGTTCAGGTGCGGGTGGGGCGGGGGGAGGGGCACTAGAATGCGCGCGACGACTCCTGGCTGCCGGCGCACGAGTCGACGGCGCACCTGCCAGGGGAGATGACGTCTGCACTCTCACCCCGCTACAGGTATACTAATATATACAGTAGACATAAACTCGATATATCATATCTGCCCAGCGATTAATTAAAAAAATGAACCCAAATTTAAATTTACGAATGTGAAGGTATCCGAATTTACTTCAAAATCGACATCCGCACAATCTTGTATTGGTATTATGTTTCGTAGCTTAAGTGAAGTGAGTTTGGAAATTACATAGTGATAGAATATATGAGATACGCTATGATATAAATCAACCAATTTTGTTTCGTATTTTTATACAATAAATGGAATCAATAAAATTTCTACACTAAATGATGTGAATTCGGGCACATGAGCGAATTCGGGTTCGGATTTTTACGGAATCGCTCTGCTGAAACTCAATATGAGTTACAATATCAATAAATTTACCTTTATATCCGCTTTCTTATCTAAATACAGAACAAATTATATAAAACTATAACGTATCTCAAAATGTAATAGTTTGATATTCGCCCCTTCTCTTTCTTACGTAAACAGAGGGGCGTTGATCAAAGGAGATGAAAATAATGTTATATCTACATTAACAGTTTTGATATATTGATTATTTAATTAAGTAGTCAACAACCACATAACAATCTTTCCTTGATATCGATATTTCAAAACGGTCTGATATGTAATGGTTATGGAAAAATAGCGAAAATGTCCAAAACTACACCACAGTATTAGCGTTTGACTGTAGCTGACTATCGATTACTACTTACAGGGGAGATAGGCAGTGGGGATGGGGAAATGTCATACATCACTAGACCGTACACGATTGGTTTATTGTATAGAGTTGACGGATCGTGGGTGGCACCTAGTATTGTCGTTCAATAATTCACTATAGATAGTTCATACAAAACCAAGTAGGTGTCGATAACTCTTTTCCGTAAAATAATCGTATAGATGCTCAATATCGAAGGTAATGTCGACTCTGTCTGACTGTTGTAAGCACCGATAATCTTGTACTAACAACAGTGAGTGGTATCGATTGTTGTTACGATTGTCAAAACCGATACTATTAATAGTACCGATATTGAATAACGATAGTGTTGTGCATTCATTAATACTATTTTACCATGCTGAGCAATCGGTAGTATTGAAAAGGAAATTAAATAGATTCAGCTTATTGGTTGAACCTTTACTAACAAGTTTAGTTGACTGTCTTAATTTCATTTGGTAGGTTGCATGTGGTGTCGGCAATCTGGAACTGGTACAACTGCTGTTGTCTCACGGAGCCGATCCGTTCCTTTCTACACAACTCAACGATGCATTATGTTATTCGGCAGCCGCACAATACGGATGTTATAGGTAAAACGAGTAAAAATAAGTTTCTTTACTTAACCACTTACCTAACACCATCTATCTACGCCGGACGCAACAATGAATCATCAGTAGTGTTTGTTTGAGAGACAAATTAGTTTGGGTAACATAAAATTGACAATATATTTTATACTTACGGTGCGTGGTGTCGTAAACAAGAATTTTTTTTAGTGAATTTAGCGCGGGCACGGAAACACGTTTTGTAAACTTTTCTGCATTCATACATATTTGACTCGAAAATTCTAAAAAATGTTTAAACATCGAACACCAACGGTTTAGTGTAATAAAAATATAAGTTTGATTATAACGTAGTCTGTATGATCTGAGATCCCTTTGCATAATAAATTATTACTCCCAAATTAAGTACCTAGCAACATCTATTATTGGATTCCGAAAAATACAACCCCTGTACAGAAACTAATAATATTGTTTAAATTCGACTTCAAATTGACAAGTAATAGTTACCTTAGAAGCTTCTTTTAAACTGATTAATATTAATCCGGTCGCCTGGTAGAGATTGTTACCTTAACAATAAGGCTACCATTTGTGTTACTGTATCGAGTTAATTTTCGATGTGTTTCATAGTACAAATAAGAGTATTCACCAAACCAAAACTACCTACATTAACTAAAACTCCCACATCTTTGCTTTACTTTCATGCCAGTTACCGTACTAATGACAGTATTTATATTTGTATGCAGCGCGGTGGCGGTATGCTGTACGCATGGTAGACGGGCGTGCCTCCGTGCGGCGGTGCGGGGCGGCGCGAGGGGCGCGGGCGCGGTGCTGTCACTAGAGGAGGTGCTTGCAGAGGGCGCCCTCCCCGCCCCTCGCCCCGCCCCCTTCACTAAGCAGCAGCAGCGCGCGCTACACGACGCCATGTATTGCAGCGCTGAAACTGACCATCTAGGTATTAACACTCGCAAAGTATCATGTCCACTTTCCATACATGATTTTTTCAAAGATCGCGTCTCCCCACTATTGACAATTTAAATTAGTTTTTTTCTGAAAATAGAAATCTTGGCATCTTTTCATCTGGATGCCAGGGAGATTCGTAATTTGTTAATAATGTTTTGATTAGTTAACATAGTACTATTTAAAAATAAGTATATGCCTCGCAATTTTTATCCTGGCTTAATTTAAATATTTGACCAATCGAGCCTTAACGTTAACATGAGCACTGGTTGCACTCGCAACAATGACGTTGACATTTAGTTTACTGAAATGTGACGTCACTAATTCACCCAATACGTGTGGTTGCTTATTTTAGACCGTACGTTTTCTTTGATTCCAACCTAAATGAAGCCCTGTGCTCTACTAGGAGGGATATTAATAGGTTGATTATAAGAAGAATTTTATATTGCTAAGCGATAAAATTAAAGAAATGATTTAATGACAATAATTTATGTAATGTTAAGAAATGGTGAAATTATTATTACTTCCAGATATAACTTTAGAATTACGCGCGCTTGGTGTACCGTGGTCTCTGCATGCTTGGACACTATCGCTGGCGGCGGCAGCTGACGCTGCTCTAGATCACGTCATTGATCAGTTGTTACAAGATTTTTTGCAGGTGATTTAATTTCTTGATTCTCAAAATATGTCCTATTTAATACAACTGAATAGTTTTATAGTATTAATTTTTGACCTAAAGGAACATATCTAAAATGTAAAGTTATTTAAACCTTATTGACATTCATATGAAAGCGTCTTATTACAGACAAAGAATTGTTCATTGTTAAATGACTATTTCCACTAACAATGACTTAATCTGTCGGTCACATTTTGCATGTTTGGAAACATACAAAAATAGAAATCATAATTTATTTCTGAAAACATATTTACAGGTCTGTCCATCCGACGACAGTCATTACAGCAAGCAGTTTATTTATGAGTGCCTCCCCCTGCTGTTTAACATACTGAGATACAGCAAGGTAAGTTATTATTTGCGTATTCAATTAAATATATTTACTAACTACTTTATTAAATATTAGCTGCTTTCTCGCAACTTCACCCATGTTAATTATAGCCTATGTGACCCGTATATGATGTAGCCTACCGTAGTTGAAAGAATTTTCTTGCCTGCCTCCCGTAGGTGAAAGTATTTCCGAATATTTCCCTTACAAAAATGATTAGCTTATTAATGTGTCTACTAATAAGGCATAGACTTTCTCTATAGATGGAATAGAATCGAATCGTACCTAATAGGAAAATTGGCCATAAATATAACCCAGTACGGATTAATAAGTGTGAACGTCTGCCCATGCAGCCTGTACCAATATCTTGACTTGCTTTCAGAAGCAGGAAGGAGCTCAAGATACGATTTTTTAGGTCACTTTTCTTTTATCCGGCCCTTGTTTAACAACCATATCTCAGAATCACAGACTGAACGTACTAACCTCTTTAAAGTATAAGTATGTGTTATTGTATTATATGTATAGAAGGAAGGCACGGTGCTATTGCTAGCGGACATCCTATGTGCGTGCTATGGCTGGGAGCCAGTGCCGACTGTGGTGGAGCCGCCACCCGCCGCTGCGCCACCCGCTGCACGAGTCGACCCAACCTACGTCAACAATCCCTCACTTGCTGACGTCACCTTCAGGTCAGTATAACCTTTTTTTTAACACAGGGGAAATGCAAACTTACGCCTTGCACCAGTGCTCTCTGACCCCGCACCCGTTTTCAAAAAGACAGGCTTAAGAGGGCGGGCTAACTGGTAAAACCCACTGCAAGTACAATCTGGCAGGGGAGGAAGGACCTGGGCTCCAGCTAGAACCCCCAGGATCAATTCATTATAACCTCACCCATAACATCCGAACTCGAGAAAATATAAAAAAAATCGCTCATAAAGTTCAGTTTGGAATACATTGAAATCACCATATTCAAAACACTCGATTATGGAGGCATCGAACATCGAAAGCGTCCTTTGAATAATATGTAAATGTTTTATTTAATAAATTTTTACAGAGTGGAGGGTCGTTTATTCTACGGACACAAGATCGTATTAGTATCTGAGTCACCGCGACTACGCGCTATGTTGGCACCTCCACGACAGTCCAACGAAGGTCTTCCGTCCAACAATACTGCACCACCCCTTGTACAAATCAACGATATTAGATACCATATATTTGAGGTACGGTACTAATTTATCATTATGTAATATTCTAGCTCGAAGGACCAAGAAATGAGCTAAATTAAAATTTTGGCACATTTTATCTTTCACTCGCTTGATTAAATAGAACATGAGTATTAGACTTAATGATATCAGCTACATAATTTAAATATTTGAAACATTAACGACCGATCAAAATTAATTGTTTATAATATCTAAGCATAACTCTTACTTTGCATATTTTATAATTACGGTTAAAAAAATTGTAGCAAGTGATGAAATACCTGTACTCTGGTGGATGCTCCGGGCTGGAGATCCCGGAGTCAGACGTGCTCGAAGTGCTGGCAGCGGCGTCTTTCTTCCAGCTGCTACCACTGCAGAGATACTGCGAAGCACGCGCTGCGAGCACCGTGGACCTGCATAACCTCGTCTCCGTATATATTCATGCAAAGGTGACATAACTACTAGTCACTTTCTATTCCGCAATTTCTGTCGTCCTATTATCTATTTATTCCTAATCTTTACTATTCCAAAAACTTTACCGAACCTTTGTTGATTCAATTTCCATAACGTATTTTTAGCTCCACGCATATGCTTACATATATTTTGACTTTCAATTTATAACAAATTTAAAAATAAAAACATAGAATAAATGTTATATTCCAATATTCCACATGAGTCGTAAAAGCCTATTTATGGATTAGACTTAATTGTTCTAGCTTCTAGAAGTATGATTTATGTTTACCATTTATTAATCCTTTACTAACCTCCACAGGTTTATGGTGCGACTCAGCTGCTCGAATACTGTCAAGGATTCTTGCTACAGAATATGGTGGCGCTTTTGACGTATGATGACTCAGTGAAACGCTTACTATTTGGAAAACGCCTACCAGGTCACAATGTGCTAGGTGCCTTACTCACTACGTTGCAGAAACGAATCGAAAGCAGGAAAAGTCAAGCTAAATCTAGGTAGCGTAAGAAAGATTTTATTAAAAAATTGAAAGACCGTGCTGTCTTAATTTTATTAAAAACAAAAGATTGGGTAACTTTGTAACGAAAGTGCAACTGACCTTTCAAAATATATTTTAGTTTATTTAATTACTTTATGTAGATACGTTCATAGTAACCTGCTGATTCAGTACAATAAATGTTTATAATAATTATTATTATTTCATTTCGGTTACATTTTCCGATGGTTTAAAATGCGCATCGGAAAGTATATTAACAGTGTAACAAAAATGTAATTATTGTTGAAATAAAGCTTTATGTTGTAAAAATGTTTCGGTGTTTTATTTATTTTATTATTACAGCAACAGAAAGCAATTTGGAGTGTTAGAAGAAAAAACATCGGCTACTACTGGTAGCCCTAATTGTCGATTTCACTACGAGGGTCAAACTGAAAGTTCTTAGAACTGGCCACTTATAAACAATATAATAAAAAAATAATTCTAAAATTTGAAAATATAACTCTTTGCCAATATTACTGAGTACATATTTCATTCATTTGTCATTTGTTTTACGATTTGGCGGCAAATTGAAAATTGTCTGTGTCACGTCATCATGAATTTAACACGAGAAAATTTTCGTGCAATGATTTTTTATGACTTTCGATGTCATTTAAGTCAACAAGAAAGTTATGATAGACTACGATTGGCCTTTCACGATGAAGCCCCATCTCGTGCGACTGTTTACAACTGGTTTAATGAGTTTAAACGTGGTCGCACTAATCTCACTGATGATTTACGTGAGGGACGGCCTTCTACGGCGACGACTGAAGATAACATCTGTGTTGTGCGGCGTATGATAGAGACTGACAAAAGAGTGACCTATCAACAGATTCGGACAAGCTTAGGCATCGGTATGAGTCAAGTGCACAAAATCCTCCACGAACATTTAGCGGTCAGGAAGCTTTGCGCCCGGTGGATACCTCATAATTTGACTGAGGCTCAAAAACTCCATCGTGTGGATTGGTGTCGTAAAATGATTGAAAGATTTAACGGAGGTGACTCAAATGCTGTGTTCGACATACTAACAGGTGACGAAAGCTGGATTTACTGTTATGATCCTAAAACCAAAAGACAATCTGCTCAGTGGGTGTTTCCTTTCGAGGAGTTGCCAACTAAAGTGAAGAGAGATCGAAGTGCGGGAAAAAAAATGGTGGCCTCGTTCTTTGGAAGGATAGGTCATTTTGCAACAATTGTGTTAGAGGATCAAAAAACAGTTTCTGCAGAATGGTACACTACCAATTGTTTGCCACTTGTCTTGGAAAAAGTTCGAGAGAAACGACCTCGCAGTAGGATCCTCCTTCACCACGACAACGCCTCGTCGCACACCGCCAAGCGAACGATCGACTATTTGGCGACATCAAACGTTGAATTACTGGGTCACCCGCCGTATAGCCCCGACCTCGCGCCTTGTGATTTTTATTTATTTCCAAAAATTAAAGAAAAACTTAAAGGAAAGCGGTTTATGAATGCTGAAGAAGCGGTGGCTGCGTATCGCGATGCCATTGAAGAGACCCCTAAGGACGAGTGGGCAAAGTGCTTTTCCCAGTGGTTCCATCGCATGCAGCGGTGTATTGACGTGAATGGACAATATTTTGAAAAGATATAATAAAACTAATAACTGGCTAATGTAATCAGTTTTTGATTTTCTAAGAACTTTCAGTTTGACCCTCGTATCAGTCGGCTATCACTGTCATTTTTGACTATGACGTTTGATCAGTTTCACGCCAATATACTGGCGGGTTGTCACTCTTGAAAAACTATTGGAATCGGTATGGTATGGTGTTTTCGGGAATCCATAGCAAAATAAAGTTAGCACATCATACTATTGATAATCAATTGTGTATAGTATAATTATAATCCGTAAATATTATTTTAAAACTAAAATTTTACCTTTCATTTGTTATTTATACAGCGTGTTTGGTAATACCTGTATAATCCCGAAACATGGCCATACAACTTAGCACAAAGAACACAATTGATAGGTCAAAAAACAATTTCATGTAAATTGATATTTTCATACAAATATTTGAACAATTTGTTTTCAATTACTATGCTACAATCCTGTAAGCTTATACGTGCCGTCCCGGCGCACTCGCTCTTTCTCTCTCTCCCTCTCTCATTACCTCTCACTCTCTCGTTTCCTTGAATACATTTTGATGTTGCCGACGCGCGCACTCGACTACGTATGAGTTTACTTGTAATTAAAACAATTTAAGATTAAATAGGTACATACCTATAGCGTTCTAATCACTCTTTCAGCTTTCACTTGTCAACATTACCTACACTTCACCTCCACTTTATCAGTCCAGGGTCTCGATATGCCGGCCACCGCATAAAACACACATCTCCATTCGACTCGACACAGACCGTGTCGTGTTACTCTCGACGTAAAGTCATATCCTCTGTCTCGATGGAATAGGTGATCGGCCGGCCTACCTGTGGCACACTATGGAATGAACCAGTTGTATGTAACCAATTCACAAATGCCGCGAATCACCGGTAAGAAGGAAGACGTCGATGGTTTTCTGGTCTTCCTGACACGTGGCGCTCGTCATAACGCCGCCGAGCCGCAGCAAGATTACCGTCACAAGCACCGCCACACATTATCATCTCGTAATATTAGGCATTTGAGTACGAATTCATTGCACTGACCGCACACAAACATAATACACAGGTAAACAGAACGAGAATGAAAAACAAACCAAAAGTCCCGAAAGAACGAAAACGTAAGTTGACCTTCTAAATTCTGAAAACTCACAAGTACACCGATGAAAGTCACGGACGCGACTGACGCGATGACCAAAACTACATAAGTTATTATTATTGCAACTCGAACACCAATGTACCTAAATCAAAAGTGTACCGATTTTGGGGTTCCGCGTCAAGAAATATTATTTATTATTAGACCTTTCCATTACAACTAACCTTTATTTAATTAGCATTTAAACTAAGAATAAGAGAGATACTTAGATTATTAATATCATTGTATAAGTCCGTATTTTATTGTTTCGTGAAAATAACACGGCTTTATGAAAAAAATAACAAAACTTCAAAGCAAATAATCTACAGAACCTTACTCACACATCAGAAACCCGAGTTTCTCAATACACATCGTCGTCGATTTTATGTCTCTCTCGCTCCTTCTTGCATAGACTAATGTGAGCAATGGTGCAGATATTGAACTTCAATCAAAGTATTTGCAATTTCTTTTTTATTTTGACTGCATTATTACAGAAGTTTTCATATTAATAGTTTTTGAAACACCGTTAATCACAAGATTAGTGTTTTTTTATAGTTAAAAGTCATTTTTACTACTAACTTTTTCTTTGTTTGGAAATAATAAATTCCTCTCAGATGCATATTTATTCTAGGCATTTATCTTTAGATTTATTTAACTTCTGTTATTTTTTAAACTAGTTCGGCACATGGAGTCGATGACCAAATACAACACAACAGCTGTTTTTAGGGTTGTCAGCGTACAGTTTTACTTCGAAGAAAAAATGCTGAATATCTAGGTCATGTGCTGGGTTTCAGTCTTAGTGATCATTTTTCTGGGTTCTATTCATCATACCGTATGTGCCATATTCGGGATTATACAGGTATTACCAAACACGCTGTATAACAACCCTTATCATCGACTTCGCCTTTGTAAATTATATCCTATGTTACTCCGCGTAGTGTATAGCTTTCCGTAGGGTATAGAATCTCATAATCATATCAGTATCTCCGAAGATTTATAATATTAATACAGATAACAAACATTAATATATATCTTATTAGATAAAAACAAAAAAAAACAAAAATGTTTATTCTTCAGCTTAGTTTACCATTTACAATATATCATGAAGTCCCCTTTTAAGTATTTATCATACCTGTTTCAGGAGACCTCGCTCTTCCTTTTTACATTACATAGGTAGCTAAACTTTACAATATTCTTTCTTTTTTTTTTTGCAATATCCTATCTTTTTTAGAGTTTAAGAAAAATTAAATGAATTCAGAGATATAATATGAATTTTGTTGAGTGTGTGCGTATGTGTTTGTGTGTGTGTGTGTGTGTGTGTGTGTGTGTGCGCGTGTGTGTGGCGAGTATGTGACTGTGTGTGTGAATTGTGTGCGTGCATACTTGTTTATTTTAGAATTATTTTATAAGATTTTCAATTTCATTATAATCCTTGCTTTTAGGCCATTCAACTAGGGCTGTTTTACATTCTTTGGTGGTTTTAGGATATATATTCAGTTGTCTGTTTATGTGATTATATAAATAAATTGACTGGCTTGATTGTTGCCGTCCAGCGTATGCTGTTTTTACGGTTATATTTGTTACTACATTTTTATTTCTCCTTCTATTATCAGATACCGGGTCGTATACAAGGGTCTTATGTAATTTGAGAATAATATTTAATATATACAATTTGCGGACTGTTAGAAGTTCACAAAGGGAGTATAAATCTTGAGTTGGAAATCTATAAGGTTTAAAGTATATAACTTTCAATAGCGATCTTTGTGCCCTCTCTAAATCCAAAAATTTCACTTTCGTTGCACCTTCCCATATGCTAATACAGTACGACAACACTGATTAGGCTAAAAAAATATATATTTGTTTTATTACTTGTGTTGTTGTCAGATATCTTAGATTTTTGAAAAGCCAAATAATCTTTCGGATTCTTGTCATTAGATATCAATAAATTTTATCAAAAATAATGTGTATCTACTAAGATTGTTTTCTATTTGATGTTCCTAATATATTATGGTAGTAGGATATAATAAAATTGTGTTATCGATATGGAAATGTACATCACTATACGAAAAAACATAACCTCTACGATGTAATTAAAACTTCTGACATTTAATGCTAAAAACGGTGGATAATAGAAATGAAGACTAACTTTTGTTTGTTTGTCCGTCAGGTAGATTGTTGAAAAATATTTCGTATTCATATAATACCGGAGATACATTGAGTCGAAATGTCACATGACGAAGCGTTTTTTAAATTTTCTACAAAACTGTAACGTATCAAGCCCCAACTCCTCAACTTTAATGCCTTTTATCTAATGTACTTCTTGTTATATTGAAGTAAAAAATACGAAACTTGTATTTTCAAATTATCTGACTGACGGACTAGATAGAATTTTATTTTTAAATAATAATGTCACTATGATTCTGCCAAGTTAGGCTGTCATTTATTTATGTAAGATTAAATTAATATAACAACCTTTATGACAACTTTTTTTTTATTTCAGAAATTAATAGTCCATTAACAACTGAGAAATAATGTCGAAGTAACAGCATGTCTGCGATAAATATTTTCGGAGATACGGTGCTGTGTTTGTAGAACTGCTGCTAGTTGGCCGAAAACGCTCCCTACAAATACAAGGCACTCAGTGACGTCACACGGTGCTGCAGTAGCGAAAAATGTATGGGCGTCTGGACATTTTTTGCAATATCTTTGTTATTTGTGCGTTTATGTTTATAGCTATTATAATGAAAGTTGTAACATTTTTTATATCTAATTTAATGCCTTATGTATTTTAGCAATTTTTTGTAGTAGATTTTCTCTACTTTTTTCAAGTTTTCAAAGCGTAATATTTTCCAAATAATTGACTTGAAATTTGTTTTGTTAAACATTTATAAGTTAAAATGGTTCATATTTTTCAAAGATATAACAAAAACCTGTATTTTCACTTGTAGGACACAAGCCTATTAAATAAAAAACAAATGTAGATGCGTTATCTCATGTACATCTTATAGCCAAATTCAATTGCGTTATTATGAGATATACAGATAGTTATACAACATTTACTTGTATCATGGTTTCTATGCTTTAGTTATTTATATAATTAGATAATTATAAAATTATTAAGGAAAAGTGCGAGATACATTCAAAGTGCAAAAAGATTTTAAGGATTTGTTACAAGGATAAGTCTTCTGTATAATTTATTTATATATAGAGTTTGACTGTGCGTACTTAATACTGTATAAGTATTTTTTTTCACTGAAATACTGATTTAATTGAAGATTTAAATCATCAATCAACAATACAACTAGGTAACGCTCCGCATACTAAAAAAATATTCAATGAGGACGTATTTAAAAAAAAAAGCAATAAACAACACCTCTATATATTTGTTTGAAATTTGGTTATCGGTACGAATACGAAAATTTCAGATAGAATATTTATTTACTTATTTATTGAGTTATTACTTTTATACATGAAAGAAACCGGAAGAGTAGTCATGGATAAGTCAAGAAAGTACCGTAGCGACATCTTGTTTGATTTCGGGAACTTATGTTTTTTTAAATACTTCCTCGTTTATAGATATTTATACTTTATATAAATATAATTCTTGAAAATATAACTACACTTTTAAAATTAAATTCCGCTTACGGCTTTGAAATTAGTAAAATGGTTTATGTAGACTTCATGTGATGTTTATGTTAACATTCGGCATAAATAATCATTTATCATATAATCGATATTTTTTGGGATTTCTTTGTTGTCCAGTTACCTATCGCTAGTGAAATTAAAACCATATATTTACCTCGCTGCCTCAATGAAACTTTGTGCCCTAGGCAAAATATTGGATCGACACCCATAAAAATATAAGAACAAAATAAAACACTCAATGTACACCGATTAAAGGCTCCCCCACACAAGCGCGTTATTACAGGTCGATTATATCGCAAGCGGTATTGCGTTAATGTATCCCGATTCCTTACATTCCTTGCATACAACTGCGTTTTAACGTTCGATATTTCTTACGAGAGAGTAACGTTATTATCGCAGGTGTATGTACGGTCGTTTGCGTCCTGATAGAAAACATTCTAAAACTTATATCGGAATATCGCAGGACGGAGAAACGCAACGTCCTACTTCTTGCGGCGTTATTATCGCAGCAATGACAATACAAAATGTACTGAAAACAGATATCGTGTAATTTTACCAGTGACAAAAGATGAGTTCTTTGGTACTGCTTGTCTGAATATTTTGTGCATTTGTGCCACGGCCATGGAATTATATTCAAAGAACAAAAGTTTTTATTCTTTAGATACTGCATTTTTAAGGTTTAAATGAACATAATCTGTTTACCATGCAATGCCGTCACTCAAATAGGTAATTGTCTAGTTTGCCCATACGGATGGACCGGGCCTCCCCTATATAAGTACATATATTCAGGTCCTTTAAAGCTTGAATGAATGAAACTTCTAAGTAAACATGAATTTAAGATAGAGCTTTACGCCACAAAAAACGCATTATCCAACATTTATAAGGGAATCAAAATTGTTACGCTTTTAAATATTAATATACCTATATTATTGTGTTTTCATACTAGAAATGGTACTTAGTAATGTTTCGATAGTAAATTTTTTTGATAGTTAATGGCCTATCAATACCGATTTTGCTATCTAGCATGAATAAAAAATTCTGTATGCATAGATTGCCAAATTGTTTTAAACAACTATTTTCTCGAATTGTTTATGTTTTCAAGAATACAATGACACTTATAAAAAATTATTATATTTGAACAATATTTTATTTACAATGCTATTCTGAGAAATATTCTTAATGAAAAATGCTTAAAAAAAATCAAAGATTGATTTTCAGATCTCGTCGACTTTCAAACTCAGTTTTCATTTAAAACGAATCTTGGAATATCGACTTTAAAAAACTTTAAACGTATTTAGAAGATTTTTTATAATAATAAGGTTCTTTATACGTAAGGATAGACATGTGTATTTATTAATGTTGTTGTTGGATATTTTATGATGATTTTAATGTTATCGAATATGCCTAAACAAGAAATTGATATTCTAATAAACAAGTATCGATTCAATTTAAATTATCGATATGATATTTATTGACACATGTTCAATTACCCATCCCTTTAAATGTCATAAATGTATCGTCTTGTGGAGTGATGTGTGCGCCGAACCGAATGATTTCGCGATTTTTTTGTGGTTAAAATTTCAGAACAGTAATAGTCAGTTGTATTAGTATTCTAATTCTAAGTATTAAATGTCGTGACAGTGGTTATGATGCAGTTCTACAAGGAAAGAATTCTCAATGCTGCACAGTTGAAACGACTTAGTGAACACAAATATTCGTGTACCAGTGCCAGTTTATTGGATCCATGGCTTCAGCCGTGGTGGTGTTGGCTAGTTTCAAAGACACCACTGTGGCTTGCTCCGAATCTCATCACTATTTTAGGTCTTATAATCAACATAGTTACCACATTAATTTTAGTTTGGTAAGTATATTTTGAAGGTTAATTAGACGTAAAAATTGTGTCATCAATAACGAATGACCGTAACGATACACTACTTTCGCCTTTTCTTTTTACTTCTTTCAACTTTCAGCAAGCGTTTTTCGTAAACTTCATTACACCCTTTCTAATGTGTATAGTGATAATGTTTATAATTTTTATATTTATCACGCGATTGGTTGGTCAAATATCGCGCCACCGTCTCGTGATAAGATAGATAACTATTATTTAAGTATAGCAAACTCCTTAATATTTAATCAAAAGAATATTTCTGAACTGTGATTGCTAAAACAATAACATTTATTATTGAATAACAACATATACAGGGCTGTTTGTTAAACACCATCAACTTTGGTCATGTTGTGTCGATCTTAACACTGTTGTGCTCTGTTCATGTAAATCAAATTGAAATATTGAGGTGAAATAAATTTTATTTTTTAAATAATTGGAAAATTTATCATGTTTTCTTCATTATTACAAAATCACAACAAACCCACTGTTGTGATTTTGTTGTTTTGACGTAACCTAAAAGGAGCAAGAAAATATAATTCATAAAATTTATCCATCATAAAAAATTAACATCAAGTGCTGTTGCATGCTCAATTAGTTTACTGGCCCATAATAGAATTTAAGGAAATAATTAAATGCAATAGGCCTTTCCTAAGCCATATTTTGAGTTAGTTAGGGGTTATGTTAATAATTGGAAAAGCAAAAATAAATAGGTTACTAAGCTGGCTGGAAAATAATAATAATAAATTCTTTTTATATCCAACAAAAATGATCTAAGAATTAGTAATGTGATGAGTGCGGTGCTTTGGTATTGGTAGAAAATGAATGACTGACTATGCTTCATTGGTATATTTATGGCATAAATAAAAATAATTGTATAGTAATATGAGAACAGTTGTATGGGATTAGTAAAATTATGATGGTTTCTAGGTGCTTAAATAAAACAATATCATAACCCTTTTCTGGGTTTCCTTTTAAATAATTAATTTATCACAAATTCACTTTAAACATATTTGATTTTAACAGAATATTTAAATATTTTTTAATTAAATGTTGTTATGCATGTACTGGAAGAATTTTCATTAACTGATTTTAGAAAGAGCATACTTTACAATTGCTTGTAATTAAAAATGGCAAAAATTAATAATATATGAGCAATTATGTTATAAATCAAAGACAAAAAGTTTGGATGCATAAACCTAGGACAAATTAAATGGTGTGGTATGATGTACCATTACAGTAATGCTAATTTCTCATTATCGAAATGTTTGTAGGAAATTGATATAATTTTTTTTTTTATTGAGTCAAAGGCTTTTCATGCAACCAGAAGTTTTCATCAGAATAAGGATATTATTTGACACAATCAGTACATCAATAATTGCAAATTGCTATCAATTTGTTTAAAATCTAGCTTTCCATCAATGGCTTCGCATGTGGTCTCTAGGGAACTATTTAGTGGGATAAAAAGGTATCCTATTATCTGAGTCAGCTAATACCCTATCTGTATAACAAATTTCATTAAAATCCATTCAGTAGTTGCAGCATGATAAAGGACAGACATTCATTCAAACAAAGAAAATGTCACATTTATAATATTAATAGGATACATGATTTGTCTAAAAAACTATTCAAGATTAGCATATGCTTGTCTTTTTTATTATTATTAGTATTGGGCAGCAGGCCATTGATTTCTTGTGCTAAATTAAGCCTCATGCTTCTTCTATGATCTTTTGTCTAATTCGGAATTGCTTCTCTTCCCTTTTTATTTTTTAAGCTTCCTTACATTTTTAATTTACACTGATCATATTGCTCTTACTTTGGTATTTGTTATTGTGTTACATGATTACCTGAATTACATTAGTTTTATACATATTTCCCATTTTCATTTTTCACATTTTCTCATTAGTTTTTTCTTTATATTACATTTTGACCAGTTTGCATATTGCATACTAATACCTGATTTGGGTTCATTTTAGTATACATGCATATGTTGGTCTTGTGATCAACACTGGTCTGCTGGAACTGGTTTGGTGATACCTCAGTTTTAGAATAAGTAACCTCACAGATTATATTAGTATTACAGAAGTATTTTGTTTATCATTTAAAATAATCTATACAAAGTATAAAACAAAATCATTTCCTACTGCATGCTGAAGTCTTTTAACAACTAAACAGATTTTAATACATTTTTATTATATAAGTTTTATATGTATCTCACCCATATAAATAAGTCTTATATATATGATCCTGTATCAAGGGGGCGAAGCCACTGGTGGCAAGCTAGTGTTTTATAAAGACTGCTTATACCTATATAATTAACAGCTTTTTAATTTGGTATTCCTTCAGGTATAGTCCAGATGCACGACAAGTACCTCCGCGATGGGCGTGTGCGTTGGGAGCATTAGGTGTATTTATATATCAGAGCCTGGACGCTATCGATGGCAAGCAGGCGCGTCGCACCAACAGTCAGTCACCCTTAGGAGAGCTGTTTGACCATGGCTGCGACAGTATATCTACGGTGTTTATCGCTCTAGGTGCCTGTACAGCAGTCAAGCTTGGCGAGTATCCGACCTGGATGTTCTTTCAGGTAAATAATTATATAATATTTATTATATATTAACATCCTCGATATAGTAGCTTCAGGTAGGTATTTGGAATTTCAACACTTCTGCATGTAACAAAATTTGGATATTGAAATTGATTTCTTTCTCTAATAGAAGTTGGTCTTTATGTGAATTGATACTTTGAACTATCAAAATCTATATATTTTTGTGAGAAGTAGTGACAAAACCTTGGCCTGCCTCACGTGGTTATGTTGATATATTTTATATGTGAGTGATTATATTACACCCGTCTCGTGTATGAAGCGAATGTGTCAAACATTTACTAGTACTATTATCTATCCGCCCATGTTGCCACGTGGCTTGTGCTTTATGCCGTTCATTATAAATATATTACATAAAGTAACAATCCAAAATGCCCTCAATCTGCTATACTAGTTTATGTTCTTGTATGTTAGATCGATAAATATAAAAGGCGGCCTTAAAAGCGTCTATCCTGGGATGACATATGTGTCTTCAACCCAATCAATTGTTTATAGAAATGGAAGGCAATTAATAAAGAAGAATAGGTAATCAAACCAACTGTGACAATGCGAGGCGAGGCCGCATTGGCGCCACAGTACCGTGTGAGCGCACTTTAAACAATCATTGATCTTGATATCAACGCTCCGATGTAAAAAGTATTTATATCAAAAGTCACAGAATGGCAATAATAAATTGCCTTATCTTTTATGTCCTGAATCGGAATACGAAACAAGCTGGAATCTTCTAAAATCATATTGTTACCTTTTGGTAACCTCATATTATCCTAAGACTAATATTTTAATAACTCATACTAAAAAAATACATATTTCTTCCTCGTGTTTTGCATTTTGCCTATCAAAGCTGAGAATGGCGTATTGTACGGAATAATAAGGCGCCAATCATTTATTACGTAGGACTATTTTGCCAATATAATTTAACTTTCGCGTTCTTAGGGTTCCATACCCAAAGGGTTAAACCATATCACTATTATTTACACTAAGATTCCGCTGTCCATCTGTCTATTAACAAACAAACTGTACGTGTGCGTACAAAGCCAGTTAATAATTTGTGATTTGGCTCTTAAGATCAAACAGACGGTTTGTTTGTTTAATAAATAATGGAAGTAAATAATCGTTTCATCATGAGTATAACAAGAAATAAATAATGGATACTTTGAAGACGTTAGGCTATTTAAGTACCTCTAATAAAGTTAATAAGAAGCTCATAAAAGATTTTTTTTAAATCCTATAGATGCATTATATTAAATCTTATCCTGATGTAATAATAAGTATCACTTATTATTATACAGACAGGTATTAACCACGTATTAACTGATTTCTTTATTGCACAATAAATTAAGATTATTTTGAAGTTATCGAAACGCGCAGGGATTGAAATGATAACTAGAAATCGCTACACCAATACACAATACTAAAATTGTGTGTAGGTAGTGAAATAGTCAGTGATCGCGATAGATCGTGGTTGCAAGTTGGAATCTTATAAGGTGTAAACTTTTGTGTATGGATGTTTCTAAAGTAATAGTAACTATAATAGTGCTCTTAAACTGGCGCCTAAACAGAAAAAATAAGTAACTTTTAATGGAATGAAATGAAAATGTCTTTATTCAAGTAAGCTTGTTTCAAGCACTTTTAAATTGCCCAAAAAATGTTTTTTCTCGACCGCTTGTTCAGGACGTCTTTTAGCTGACAAGAAGAACAAGCGAAAGAAATTACCAGCTCTTTATCATAATTTACATAAATCATGTTATTACCAAAATAGAACGTATTATAACAATAATAAATACAACTTTCAAACTATATAATTAATTTTGGAAAAAAAGTCGGAATGTAGAGTGCAGTACCTGGTATTGATATATGTACGAAGTTTTGTGATTTAGCATATTATGATAAACCTACGTTATCACAAAATTATAATTATGTAAAACGCCTAAACGGTTTCCTAGAGACGAATATCGTGTAAACCACGCGGTAGAAGCCAATTGCGCAAAAATAGTCCAAAACATTTGTACTAACTGTTAACTGTTAAATGAACTGTTAAATGTTATTAATAAAGTATTATACCAAGGATCTTTTCATCGTCACATACTGCTGATTGTAACGTAAACGAGTACTCCATGTACATTGTGTGTTCCCAAGTTCAGGGTTATTTTATAATACAAGTACTTATGATATTGAGGGCGAAGAGACTGGTTCTTGGTATTTTTCTACCATTTTTATGAGTGGAATGAAGTGAAAAAAAGGGGATGTTAGTGATTTTCATTACACTTCTCGTTTATTTGGCAGTTTATTTGTATGAAATAGTATTATACTAAAAGATTAATTAATGCCAAACAAAATTAATGATAATTTAAAAAACGGATGCATCTACGAATTAGCATCTGCACTGTGATCAAACATCCAAATGAGTAGCTAAACAGCATCCAAAAAGTAATTACATTACAGAAAGAATTTACTGTCTAGTTTATATTTGTGCAATATACTTTTATGCAAGAAAGAAATCTATTATAATGGCCGCTGTGTCAGCAGCCAGCAGACACCAACCAATGCTTAATAATATTTTTTATATAACAGAAAACTGAAAGGAGATCAAACGGTTGTTGGTAATAATTTCTTTTTGCCGACGACGAGAAATAACGCAGACATCAGACCCCGTTAAGAATCCTCTTTGTAAGTGAAAGTGAGCCAACAATATCGAGGTTAAAAACAACATTCCTACTTCATTCTGGTGACTTTACATTTTATTTAATTCAGCTGCAAGCTTTCCACGGGTTTGTTATGAATTTCTACCCGGAAAGCAATCTGTCACTTGATCTTTCCACTTTCAATATAAATTAACAGTATTTATCCCAATGCTTCAATTAGAACAAGCACAGCGGAGCATGTTCAGTTACAAATAGTAATAATACCAAATACATGGATCCAAAGACAGAATATTTTAATAGTACGTGAAGATTATGACGACGTAAATCGTGACTCATGTATGGCGACGTCATTGCCTGTACTTTGTATAAACGGCTTGCTACTCGCGTGATTATACCGGTTGGCGAGACCACGCGGTCGTAAACATATCGATGTTGAGACTAGAGACCAAAACTTATAAAAAAATAATTGTTGCTCGATTCTTTACTATCACCGTCCGAAATGAATGACTATGTTATTGTTCTATCTTATTGGTGTTTTATTATTGTGTTAAAATAATGTATGATAATTTATAAAAACCATACATATGTAATTGTAAGAACTCGCGTAATCGTTTCTGAAATACATTTTTTACCTATCGAATATTTGGGCAATTTCCGGAAACTGTCTCACCGTTGAGTGCAACAGAAAGCCAATGAACTGCTGGTGAAAATTTTGAATGTATGAAAGTTCTTTACACTCACATTTAAAGGGGTTATCAAACTTTATTATCTAGGTCGCGAGTCGCGGGTGGTATTCGGATGTGTAGCGGGAAGTTTTTAAAAGTCGCTGTGAGCAATATATGGCCTTTTAGTCGATCCTATAGTTATATTTATATTTTAATTTGGATATATTTATATTTTAAGTCGTCCGCCAAAACTGTTAAGAACCACTGATATAGACTGTACGTTGTATAGGTTGTTCACCTACACTTATATCCTTTGTTTGTTAGAAATAGATCAGTCTTCACACATAATTTTCCAATATATAATATGCAATGTAATTCAAAATCAACCTTTGCTTCATGATACTTGATTTGTTACCTTTCTTGAGGTATCTAACTATACGGAAAGGCAATATCTTGTATATCAACAATTTCTTAGGTATATGTCTAGACAAACGGTCGCGTGGTAAGAGGAAATGTCTAAAATAATGGTTTTTCAGATCTTTGTCAAGGTTACGTCAGTCGTTAAATTATTATACCACTGTAGGAATACTTATTTGGGAATGATGCCAACCTGCCAATGTAGGAAACTGATGTGTTGCCAAGTCTGCCTCATTCACAAGGTTTCACCTGAAATGGTGTAATTGGCACGTTCTACCTTTATTAGGCTTCTGGCTGAAATTAATGAATACTTTATTGTACACCATAATTAAACAACGTGGCAATTGAAATTACAATATATCTAGTATCGGTTGTGTAAGTGACCAATTCTTCTTCTTCTTCTTTTTTTAATGGCTTATCTGCGCATTTCGCACAATTCTGCTAATGTCAAGTAAATAAATTAATTTTTACATGTAGAATGAAAATGAAATGAATGAAAGATGGCGATCACCAATATTCTCTCAAGTGACCAATAGAGTAACTCTTGTAACTCTGACAGCTAATATAGAGAGTAAAGCTCATATGTAATTTTTAATTTGTTATCTTATTCTATTTATCTATACTTAAATTATAAAGAGGAAAGATTCGATGGTTTGTTCGCATTCAATAGGTTCCGAAACGTCTTTGCTGATATTAAAAATTATTTGATTCACGGGGAGCTACATCATACGCGGACGACATACAATTTACGCGGAAGCAGTTTCTGGAAAACAACTGTCTGCGTAATATTTGTAATTAATTTAATAATTATTTATATATTTTCTCTTTCTATTTATGTGATAATAATTGTAGTTGATGTATTGTCGTTTTTATCACAATAATGACTAATAATTAAATGGCAACAATTCTGATTGTCTTAGTTCATTATTTATTATGAAAAAAAAAAAGAATATTTAAGTACTATATTTATTCTATGATATGTTGTTTTTCAGTGTTTCTGTGCAATGACGCTCTTCTACTGTGCACATTGGCAAGCATATGTGACTGGCATTCTTAAGCTGGGTCGTGTAGACGTCACAGAGGCGCAATATTCCATCATGCTCATTTACATTATCTCTGCCATTTTCGGTGCGGACTTTTGGGCTATGCAGGTAATGCACTCCAAACAGAAAATCTTAGTATATCCTTATAAATGTTCGATAACTTTTATATGTTTCAAATTAATTATTGTTCAGTTGAGGAATCAATTGATCAAGTTTCTATATTATTATTTTTTAAATATCATGCTAAATTTGAGATTAAGCCCAGTAGCTAGATATTTTTCAACTATCTTTAAAAAAAATGCGAACTATATGTTCCTGTCAACAATTTCTCTGACAACAGTTGCCCCAGAGGTCTTGCTACGTTATTTAAATATAATAATTTCGTTATTTTCCACATCATTTAATGTCTTTGTTTGTATTATGTTAATATTTATTTTTAGGATTTAAAACCTTCTTCAATGTTTGTAGATGTTAATAACTACCACTCGTCACAATTAATATGACACCTGGATGCCTATTCTGTATCTACGAAAACGTAATTACTTCTATTTATGAAATGCAACTCCAAAGAAATGCATCTTCCGATAATTTACGATGCAACTGGGGTAGGACTTAAAACTGCCTCTCATACTTATGATAATCTTCACGAACACGATCTTAACAAAATCGTAAGGACTAGGGCATATAGAATAGACCCTCGGGTGTCATTTTAATTCATACGCGTTATAGGTATAAACATTTCGTTATTTATTTTTATCTCATCAACACCTAACACTCCCTTATAGTTTTCGAGATATACACAGATATGTTATCTCTTTATGATGTACAAAACTAGCTTACCAAATTATTCTGACGTTTTTCAATTGTTAAGAGACTTGTTTTAAAAATACCCACATGAAAACTATAGTTTATTAAGAATAGTTGTTTAACAGACAATTAATAAAACAGACGGAGATACGATGATTAGATAACTAGTGTACGTCTTATCTAAATGCTAATCATTAAACTGAATTGTCTACTTAGAAATTCAATTTCATTTTGTCATGCTAATCACAACCTTATTTTATGTACTCTAAAATTTAAAATATGCAACGTCGCGCCCGCAACAAATAGGTGTTTGGTGCGATAGAGGCTCGGTATTCACTGGGTCTGGCCGCCGTTGCGGGCACGTTCCTCACCGTTAACTCCCTGGGAGCCGCCATCGCGTCGGGTGGCGTCGGCAAGAACGGCTCGACCGTCGCTGTGAGACCTCCTGACGCTTCCTTACCGCCTGGTACCTGGCCGGGGGTCCGGGAAATCAATGTTTTAATTATTAATCAAGGTCGTTAATTGATTATAAGTATTTTTAATAAACATGGGATCTTTCAATTTTTATCGGGTATAAAACATGCTGCTGTTCTCTTTGTGTGGAAATCCTATGCATTGAAAGGGTTTCTAATTGCACAATTTGTAATCAATATAGGCATTGCTTTGTGGAGTGCTCAGTCTGAAACTAAAATATGCTATTTATAATTTCGTATCTAATAATAACCCGACATCAATAGAAATAAAGTTGAAACGTTTACAATTTCCCGTTCCCCCCATCCAGGTTTTAGTTAGGACTTATGAATGCGTTGGGCTTACTGTTTCATAAGTGAAGTAATGGACACTGTTTCACTTGTAATGAAAATTTAAACATAATTAGACTTATTGTATTGTTTAGCTATGAAGCCTTTACACACTCAACAATTTATTTCTAAAATATAAAACGGATTATGGACTGATTTGAAGCAATTCAGTGCAAAATCTTATCGGATTTTTATATTCACTAAAAAATGACGATAATATTTATATTCGTAATATTATTTTACAAGTATAGTGTGTAAGGGTCATTAATAGGACTTTCAATCGTTAACGTTTATTACATTGTTTCCATCGCTTATTATCATGTGGGTTTTTTTAATAGCGTGTTAGTTCACAATTAATTTTGGTTTCTAGGTTATGCTCACTGTTGAATTCTATTTTATTCCATAAAGACATGGAGCATGATCTAATACATATAGTTAAGGTATTAGTTACTGTAGGTCCTAAATATTATTGTAATCGTGGATGTGGCTGGTTAGTCGCCGTATTGTTGTTTTTATGTTTTATGTGGGTCTTCACTCATTTACGTCATTGTTTATTTGCATGCTATGACGTTCGACTACCAGCTATATGGAAAAGATTAAATTTCGATCAATTATTTTTAGTAAATAAGAGTTTTAAAACAGTCAGAAAGTGCTGGTAAAATAATTCAACATTGGTGGTTTAGATACCTGCGGTAGACGTGCCTCTAAACCTGGTGGCCAGTATTATGTGCAACAGTGCTCAGTGTTGCTTTATCGGCAACTTCTTCTCTACGTTCCGCCTAAGAGGCTGTGGCAAAAACGGATCCACGGTCGCCGTAAGAGAATAATGGCCAATTTACTTATAACACAGCGAACTGCTCTCAGACGAATCAGTCATTGCAATTTGTAAATAAAGTCTCTTTTAAGTTGTGACTGGCGCGTCTCATTTCTTTCGGCTATTTCCTTTGTCACCATCGCATAACTTCTCATTTCATACACTGGAGTCTTTTATATACTATAGGTGAAAGGTTAAGCTTTTCAAAACACGATGAGTGAAGACAGCACATGGGCTCTAAATATGTACAATTATTAAAACGATGACATAATTAATGGCATGTTTGTATTTTTTTTTTCTCTGATACGTGGCCGCCGCCCGGGACTTAACCGCATGACGATCACCGATACACCGCCATTACACGCGCCAACATTGCATGTGGCCGACTAACCACAGTTACCGTCAATAAACGTCAGTTTGACCGTGATAATGAATTACGCCGTGATCGTCGGGGCGGTGTACCTTATCTTCAACTACGTTAATGTGATAATGAGGGGTGGAGTTGGAAAGAACGGTTCCACCGTCGCAGTAAGGATTACTATGTTTTACGCATTGTGACGTTGACACTAACGCGACCCGCACAGCGTATGACGACTAACGACGCACTATCCCGTGCGCAGTTTGCATCGCCTCTGACTGCCTACAGGTTTGCTCGGTTTGACAATCTTTTTTGTCTATTGTCAGTCCGGTCGTGTTTTTTTTCAATCGATTATTCGATTCAAGAGTCAACCGACAAGTTTCGATTTCCGGTCTCGTTACAAAAATGAAGTTAGATAAGTGACAATAGATGAAAAAAGTCTTAGTGATTTTTGATAGCGCATTATTTTTCGTATGCACATTATAATATTTTTTTTATGTTAGAAACGAGCAAATCTGCAGCTTTTAGATAGCGGCTAGATGAAAGGGTACATGTAGATGAATTGTGGTTGTGCCGTATCATTCATTTGTATTCACTTCATTTTATGTTGCATGCTTCCTTTTATAGTGCACGTTTTGCTCGCTTCTCTTTGGCAGTGTCGCTTTACCTTGACGACAATTTTATTCGTATCCGGAGCCGAGTTACAGCGTTTGTTTCTGTCAGGGCACGAGTATACTGTCCCCGGTGATTCCCTTCTCTTTCGTGGTGGTTCCGGCGTTCATCATATTCCAGAAGAGCGAGTCGCACGTCTACGAGAATCATCCCGCACTGTATATACTCGCTTTCGGGATGGTCGCTGCAAAGGTCACTAATCGACTAGTGGTAAGTTGACAACATGTTATTATATTTATTTGCCTCGAGGAAAATAGACTGCATCAATAAATGTACGAGAAAAAAAAGCATTTCATCACATATGTCAATAGCTTTTGAAATAAGTGACATATGATTGACATTACGTTAAAGAAACGCAACTGCTCAATAAACTACGAGTAACAGTGGTTGGCGCGATTAAGTTTATATTTTAGTATATTTTTATGACACAATAAACTATAAATAAATTTAAATACATTTCCAATTTTATATGACGACAAAATAAAGACGACATAATCATATGTCAAACTGAATTTTATATTTGCTATCACCTCAATTCAATTTGCGTTTGATGAACAATCTCAAAATAAGGAGCTCAACAAAAAGGCTTGGGATAAAAACCCATACTATCAATAGATGGCGCTATCTGATCTCTCCCCCGCGTGCCCAGATCCTACTTAGATCCTCAAATATTTACAGCCTGAAAAAACATGACACCAACGTATGTGTATGTTATCTACTGTTTTAGGTGGCACAGATGACGAAGAGCGAGATGGACTACTATGATTGGTCAATGCTGGGACCAGCGATGCTATTTCTCAACCAGTATTTCAACAACGCGATACCGGAGTACTACGTGTTGTGGCTGTGTACGGTATGTACATTTTTAATATGAATATAATATATAATCTAGTATTGAATCTGGAATGATAGAAATGATGACGATATAAAATATATTTCAGCCAATTTTTATTTGTACAGGTTTACTGGCATTTTTTAACATACATGACTGTTAATTTCATGTTAAAGATGAAGACATATATACATATATATAGCGAGTGTTCCGCTCAGTTGTGTGTGAGTGAGACGGCCACTTATTGAATTTTACATCTTACTGTTATTGAAACAAGACTTACTATATATTTCAACTGATACGTTCGGTCCAAGTCGGAATTGGTTTGTTCTGCGCATACGAAGAATCACTATACGCCATATTAGTAGGGACTTACTGTACATACATTTTGCTTGACTGGATGTGAGAGCGTCGCGTCGCTTTTACAGATATGGGTGTGCGTGGACCTGGTGCGGTACTGTTCTCAAGTGTGCCTGGAGATATGCGACCACCTACACATACACCTCTTCAGGATAACGCCGTCCGTAGGCACCCCCGGCCCCGCAGGCCCCCCCACGCGCCCCCCCGCCGACCGCAACGGTACTGGCCGCCGCGCCCCCACCACGCGACACACTCGTCGCCCACCGCCCGCTGACTAACCGTTGCTTTACATCTATTTATTTATTTAAACTGTCTCTTCTTGTGCGAAAACCCCGGTAGAATCTCTAGGTCCATTGTCTAGTTGCGTGATCGTAAATTGTCCAATTATATATAATAATTTAATTACCGACCCCGTACTCGCGAGTCGTTGGTCCCCGACATCTAACGGGGTTTTTGTCTAATTATAGCAAACCGCTTTCGGTTTTAGGACCGCCTGCTATCCTTACACTTAGGCTATCGAGACATTATTTAGATCAATTCGAATACTGAATCGTATTGAAACATAAAAATATCGATTAGAGCTCGGAGTTAAGTATTAAATCGAATGGAACAATGATTAGATTTTATACACTAACTATATACCATTTATCAACTTTGTGATATACTAACACAGCTAACAATGTTTCAAAAATGTGGTTCGATTCTGATTTAGATAACTTAGGTTTACAATTAATTCTCCATTTGTCAGTAGAATAATATACAAATATTAAAAATATTTTATCATACTGGCAAGAATTTAAAGCGCTTCCAAATATGTAATGTAACACAGAAGTTAATTCCAGTTGACAGCAATTAGCGAGGATGAATATTCTTTTACAAGAATGCATTCAGTTCAGTTAAGTATTTCAATCAATATTGAACCATATCCATATGTTGACTGTCTCAAAATAAAATATCAACATTAAGTGCTATTGTACAATCGAGCATTGGATTTTTTAGCCATCTTTATAAAATAAGGTTGAATTTGCTTTGACGTCTCCTTTATATTATTTAAGTCAGTTTTTATTGAGTAATGTTTTGAAATAAAAAACATTAACAATAATGCAAGAATAGTTTGATGTGAAACTAAAAGATCTAAAACGACAGAAAGAACTTCTCATTAAACGAAAAACGAAAAAAGATTTAATTCGCGCTAAAAACTGGGATATAAGTATAAATGTGAAGGACCATAAATTCATTTGTTCGATTGTATATCGTATCCCGAACATTTTAAAATTAAATTTAGGCCAATTATTGGTCATAAGTTCCATTCTATTTAGTCTGTGAATAGCTAGATACTACTTGTCTGTTTCCTAGATTGAAGTTGAATATTTAAAACCGTAGGAACTTAAGGAACCGTCTCTTTAATGTTTATAGTTGAATGTTGAAATTTGTACATAATTTGTTTTGTAAATAATATGTGATTTGTTAATATGATAGGTAGCGTCAAAATGGCGCGGCAAATTATTACTTTAATTATAAACGTGTCATGTCAAGGCTTGGCGAGTAAAGAGATATTTCTTTTTTTTTTAACTCCCATGTGGTTGTCATTACGGTACATTTTGGTAGAATAATCCAATTCACACTTGCTTAAATTAAATGAGATCTTAGCAACGATAAATGTTTTAGGTACTAAAATTCTAAAATACTTTCTATGTTGCATTATACGATATTAATGGATAGAATGAGTGACGTAGTTATTCGCTGGTTAAATATTAAATTCTTTCTCTGAGTCGGTTTTTAACTTATATCTGATTAAATGCCTTTAAATAGATGGATTTCAGCTACTATTTTCGTTGGGAATAGTATTTTCTTTCTTTTTTTAAATAACATCCTTCGAAGTAACTTCCTTTGTCCGGAAGACGCGATATTGGCGGTTTCGAAGTTAATTCCGTTTATTTGTTAATATTAAATGAAGATTCCAACTCAGTAATTCATTCGGTCTACCTAGACCGTTACAATCACTTGTGAATGTCGAAATGCTATGTCGTCGATTCGTAGTAAGTCCTTTTACTGAGAAGAACCGGCAAGAATCTCAGCTAGGGCTGTTTTCTTCTGTCTTTCAAAAATATTGATTCCCATTTTGTATTGTTTGACAATACCGCATAGAAGTCTGCAATATATAATAGTATACGCACGTTGACAATCAATTCGTCTACACACCACTACAAATATATCAGGAAAAGTATAAAACGAACGTCATCGTTGCAATAGATGTAATATAAAATAGTGATGTAACATACTCGATATTACACGGAATAATTAAAATAAACTGATCTAAATAAAAAGTAATCTCTAAAAACGAATTACTTATAATCAAAGACTAAAGTTACATACATGAATAGACCAATAGATAGTACTTATTTCAAACTGCTTATAAACATCTGTTATAGACATCTGTCCTTAATAACAAAACAGGTGAAGGTACAAATCATTTTAAAATTGAACGATCTCAAAACAGATTATTTTTTTAAACAGTTTCATGATAATTTTATTTAGATTATAGGTGAATAATTAGGAGAATTTCTGTCTTTAAAAAGAGGTTTAGTTAATTTTAAAATATATTTTAAGAAAAATAAAATCCTTTTTTTTTATCATTTTCCGTTTTCATTAGATGTGATGTTATTGAGTTCGTACAATTTATGTTAGAAATGTAAAATGGCCGATACTTATGGTGATTGAAAAATAATTTCTCGAATTTGTGTTTCATAAACTTATCATCAAATCAATTTGGTAAACATACGGATTTCCCGACGCTTCAATATATAAATTATGACTTTTTAACGGTCTCAAGAAGCTGATTACTGTTTAAAAAATATGTATCTATATAGTTTATATAAGGTGTATTCATTTTACATCTCTACTGTTATTAACAGAACTTATGATTTGTTTTCTTGTTTAATATGAAATATTTGTTATATGGCTTGGTATTCTGGTGAACTTACATACATTTAATTACTTGTTGTTTTGTAGATGGTGACACGGATAAGTGTTATCTGTACATAGGCGACCAGTAAGTAGCAGCACATGTTATTGTATGTGTGCAAGTGTTGCTTGGTGTCCATAGTCTGAAATTATATTGGTAACTGAAATATGTTTCAAATATTAGGGTATCATAATTATACGCAATGATACAACTCAAACAAGGCATATAGTTTATACCACAGAACATAGAGAGAGAATAGAAGTATAATGATATTGATTTAGTATGGGAACCGAGTGTCGCCTCTCCGCACACAAATACAGATTAGATGAAATGATCATTTTGTTCACTACATGAAAAACTGCCACGCGATACGTTCGTGATAACATAAACAGAATCCCAAAAAGATACTAAGCTAAGAAATCACACGATTAAAAACAAACTCTAATTCAACGTGATAATAAATAATTTACTTTAACATGAATGTTGAACTGTCACGTGGCTGTATACGGGGATACCAGAAGGGAAAAAATATTTTAAGATTATGCACATTTTAAAAAATTGGGGACATCATTTTATGTGCGAACTATTAAGATTAGATTTTGCTGTAACCAAGTGAATATTAAAAAATAACGCTTTTCCCTATATAACTTCTTTTAAAAAACGCAGTACAAAAACTAAGAAAACTTAATGATAAACTCTATCATATGTCTGTGGAGTAATATAATTAAGCGAGGGAAAGTGTAAAAAAAAACAAAAATTAAGAAACCAACAGAATTTTTGTATTAATTACATTAAGCCTAATTTGTAATTTTTTCTTACTGGTATCATTCCGATTGTGCATATTAGTGATGTGACATAATAGTAGTTGATGAAATAAGAGGTTTAAATTTTGTTATGAAACAGTAAAATGTAATTCAGTTCGACAATGTTCTACAGTGGTTTGATAGTAATTATTTAAAGCTTAATTCAAATAAAATGAAATACATAAAGTTTGCATTACCTAATGTGAGGCATATTAATACACTTATAAATGTAAATAGTGAAAAAGTTGAGTTGGTGAAATCGACAAAGTTCCTTGGTATTACACTAGATTCCCGACTGCAATGGGATCCTCATATTGATAATTTGTCAAGTAGACTGAGTTCTGCAGCATTTGCTGTTAAGCAAATTAGACTCTTGACAAATGTTGAAACGGCAGGATTGGTATATTTTAGTTATTTTCATAGTGTAATGACGTATAATCTATTGTTGTGGGGTTCTGCGGCTAGCATTCAAGATATTTTTATTCTACAAAAGAGAGCTGTCCATGCTATATATAATTTACGGTCTAGAGAATCTCTCAGAGAAATATTTAAAGAAATAAATATTTTGACTGTTGCCTCTCAATACATCAATGAAAATATTATCTACGCAAGAAAACATTACGATTCCTTCACAAAAAAAAAGTAGTGTTCATAATCATAACACAAGAAATAAAAATAAACTTGCCGTTCCAAGCTTCAGACTTCAGAAAACCAGAGGATCAATGCATTTACATTGCTATGTTCAATAAAGTTCCACAAAATGTAGTTGACCTACCCATAAATAAATTTAAAATTCATGTAATGAACATACTTATGAGTAAAGGCTATTATAAAGTTGATGATTATTTTAAGAATCGCAATGCATGGAATGAATAGCCATCGCTTTGTTCTATAAAGACTAATTATATGTTCAACCTATGTCCTACAGACTTTGAAAGTTGTATTTATTATTGTGATAAGATATGAAATGACATGATTTATGTAAATATCATAGGGCTGGTAAGTTTCTTTCGCTTGTTCTTCTTGTCAGCTAAAAGACGTCCTGAACAAGTGGTAGGGGAAAAAAATTTTTGGACGATTCAAAAGTGCTTGTAATAGCCTACTTGAATAAAGATATTTTCATTTCATTTCATAATAACTAATATGATCATTACAATAATAAATTGATCATAGCCATGTTTGTTTTACTTTATTATTCTAAGTTTTATAACTGTAATAATAATAGTACCTACATTTTTAATTGCAACGACTGGACAATAAGGAATCGCTGGTCAAGTATGAGTTTGAAAGCCGTGACAAAAAAGTTTGAAGACAGACACAAAAGCGATAAGTACGTACAAACGTCAATCTACATATAAAGTCACATCCGTTTGAGACATGCGTTTATAAACTTATGTGCAAATATGAAGCAACAAAAAAACTGATAAAAGCTGTTCTGTGGGCGGTTCTTTAAAGTGGCTATCTTAACTCGATTTCTATAATAATGGTTTCCGATTATGAATCAGCATAATAAAGTAAATTAAATTGACGCCTATAAATTAATTTTGTAAATTAAATTCACACCACCAACAATATTACGTTAGTTGAAAACATGATTTTTTGTTTGTATAGATAATATGTTGTTTTGAAATTCATTTGATAGGTTTAGGTCTAAAACGGATAGGACAAAATAAATTATGTAAACAGGGCAATCCGTTGTAAAGTTATTAGGGAAACTGAAATATAAGTAATGCAAAATAAGTGAAATCCAGTTTCACCAGTTTCTAATAAGACCTATTAGGCCAACACTCGTAGCTTTTCACGAAGTTTCGTTTGATTTATATATTGTTCATAAAACGTTGATATACTTCGTAACTTAGATATTTATAGCACATCAGTATTTTTTAATATTTATCTGCGTGTAAATAATTAACCGAATCTTCGTAAAAAAGTGCCTGAATAGTTCATTATTTCATCTGTTCAGTATCAATTCATCTTTTATTTTCAGGAGGCACAGCACTATTTTTTGCAAAAGTGCACAATATGATTTACATTGCTGTCTAGAAACGGGGTTAGAAACATTAATGTTGGTTTGAGCAAACAATGTATATTTTATTTGAAATTGTGTCAAATTATTACGTTTTTTATATTTTAGCACTAAAATTGTACTTACCAGTGAAAGGAAATGTTTGCATTAGTTAGATTGTATACTTTGTTTTGCTTTTTGCAAGTGATAATAGCACAAAACGGTATTTTTTATAGAAAAAATCAGTAAAATCACCACTCGACGATTGACGAACGACTGACAAATATAAAACCGAGGAAAGGGCGTCATATGAGTAAAAGCGCATATGCCAGCGACGCTTGCCCCGCCCACTTACTACTTCTATTCTCTCTCTATGTTCTGTGGTTTATACTTAGTGCCGCACATGTTGAACAATTGTTGATATAATTTGACACCTACCGATGAAATCACCAGAACTAGAAAGAGAAAATGCTAATTTTTATTTCTTTACTTGTGTTAAAAAATATTATTAAACTTCGACATCGTGTAAATATTTCGACTATCGATAATCAAATTATCGATTAAAGCACTACACTACTTTTCGAGGAATATATAATTGCATTGGTCGATTCGTTATAATTTGTTGGATATTAGGACTTTAGTTAGTGCTATTGTAACTTATAGCTAAATATGTAGATAAGCCGTATTAATAATAGTTGCTTAAGTAAATTATTCTTTATTATATATGAAATAGAGATTACCAGAGAGCTACGCTAATGTTTTTACCGATCATTTTTCCTGTAATATCCAATCATCAGAGATTTAATATATTTTAACTGTACCGGTATATATTAATCAGTTAAAACATTAATACGTAAATATTACCATAGTTACATGAAAAATAATAAAAAATCGGATGTCAAATAAATACTACCACTAAAGCAAGTAATGCGGTTCGTTGTTATTTTTAAAAGGAAATTCTAAATATAATTAAACTATTTTCGAGGTTGTCCTACAGTATAACCAAGGCTCATTTTTCTTAAAAAATTAATTTAATTAAATTTCATACCTACAATACATAAACTATATATAGTCTTTGAGGTGGAGGGAATAACCTTTTTGTGTTACTAATCCGTTAGCGAAGTCATTAGTTACAATTTAAATAGAAACACGCAATATGTTGATAATAAAAAAAACTAATTTCAAAAGTAGTCTCCGATTGTAAGTACACATTAGGTTCTTATCTATTAACTGCATGCTGTAATAAAAATCAGACCATCATTAACCTTATAAACTTATTTAAATTAATTAACGACAAGTTTAGTTTTTATTAATGAAACGCATATGGTTGAGAATGAAATTATTATAAAGCTTATACAGTGTCTGCTGCCACTAACAAACTTTCTGCATCTCTTTCTTTTAGTAATATTGATATCCTATTAACATTTTTAGATGCTTACGCATGGGTGTTAGGAGGAAACGGACAAGAAAATAAAAGACTTAATACTCAAATTGTCGGACGATTATAGACCTTATGCCAAAAGTAATAAACAATATGTGACGACACGCACACATTGTATTGCCGCTCCAAATGATTAAACTATTCAAAGAACAAATAAATAATTTTATAACAAAGAATAAATTGTAATTGTATTATAGAATGAGGTATCCTGTAAAAATTCCCTTAAACGTTCGGAACCATTTTGAGATGTAACGTAACAAAAAAAAAAAACATTTTAGGGCTGAATATTATTACACGGTACATTTACAATGGTAGATTAAATGCACATTAGTTAATAAATAATAAGGTCATAGCTTTTATAAAATGTAGAAAGCAGTTTGTGTATTAAAAAAAAACTAGTTTTTCTCAAAACTAATGTTATTCCCTCATCATATGAATCGCTTTAGTTTGTAGAACATCAATATACTCTTAGAACTCTTGCGATACAATTTATATTAAGTCATAATGTACATAAATGATGTTATTGTGCGGAGCGAGTCAACTGTAATATTAATACATGTGACGTGTTTTTTATGTGAAATAAATCGGCATTTTCAATAATTGTTTTATTTAAAACACAATTCAGTGTGAGGAGTACTTCAGTTTCATCATAGTATAACTATCTAGGTTTAGCATTTTGTTATATGTTATACGCATTGTTTCATTACAATTGGTGCTGGTTTAATGTATGAGAAGTGTATGAAATTTTAAGTACTTCAGCGCGACTGATCGTTTAAATTTTTTTTATAAATACAACAAAATATGTAGCCTTAATAGGATAGAATGTATCTGAAAAAGTTAATGATTTATGTATCATACTTCCAAAACAAGTATAGGATTTTTTATGATAAAATAGTTGCCATCTATTTATTTCCTGGAATATTTTAATTTTTAATATTTTTTCCTTATTTAGTTCTGTTTGTAGGTATTTAAAATTTCACGCAGTATTGTAGAATACAATATTTGGTACTACATAAGGACGCTAAGGTTAGTGGAAGTGTGATAATGCTTAATTTTTGTAGACAGTTTGTAATCACGTCTCGTTCGCTGTTGCTTGTTAAAAAAGTTGTATATTGGTTTTTGCGTGCGTATTTTAATGTAGTTTCTGAAATTCCAAACTACCGTTTTCTTAGTTTGTGTTTTCAAAAAAAAAAACATCAAAATTTGTTTGTTATCATAATTTGAAAAGCATTTCGTTCGAAAATCTAGGAAATTGGCATTTTAATGAATATTAATCATATACTGACCTCGTTTCTGATGCACCACTGTCAACCATTAATTTTTAATACAAAATTGTACTTCTCTTTCTCTCTTTCGATATTTGGATCTAAGGATTGAATGGATAAAGGATAAGGAATTAAGTGTATTACTTGCAATTTTAGTATTGAAATATTATCTTAAACATGGAGTATCATAAGATTGAAATTTGAACCCATCTGTACATTTTGTTTTTTGCTTTGTAGTTGTTACTCGGTATCTGTTAGTACAAAAATATAGAAAGAGAGATACTGTACTTTAATTCGGACAGTGCAACCTAAAGTAGCTTCATATTAACATTTCTTTTATTGCTTTGTTATTAACGCATGCATTATCATTTATTTTATATGCTAAGTACTATTTTATGTTTATATTTAACAACAAACTTAATTTGTTTTTTTCAGCGAATAGTGAAAGTGAGAAATCAGAAGCCGAGGACAACGTGCCTTTAATAAGCAACTCCATTTAGTTGAGTGTTTATTATATTATGTTAAATTTAAGTCACAAACCATTAATTGCAGTGGAAAAGTGAATTACAAATCGTGTTACTATTGTATTACAGACTATTGTAAAAAAAAAACGCAGCGTCACATTGATAGCCGCATTAGACGCAGCATTAGCTACTTCAAAAACCTCTCTAATGCAAAAATAGCGCCATATTTTTACACAATACCAAAGCTGAACTGAAAATCCTCTGTTGAATTTCCATATAAATATTGGTGAAAAGTAAAAAATAACATTACTTATCATACTCGTGCATTTTCCACAAATATTAAGATTATCAATAAGATTATAAAGAGTGTCTTATTAGGGCTGGGATTAACAGTTCGTTTGAAATCCAACAAAATGGAAACGTTTACCATAGAGTCTACATAATGAAAAAAAAATTTTAATATTGTAGTGTTTTTCGCTGCCCTTCAGTGCGATTTTGATATGCACTTGATCGAATTTTTAAATAAGTAATTATGATTATGTTTTATAGGATAGCTTTCTTTTGAATTTCTTTATATCGACGATATTACAGAGTCATCCACTGCAATTAATGGATAACTTACTTTTTTATATTTAGTCAAATGTAAGAAACGTACACAGTGTTCACGGAGTCAAATGTGCGTATAATGTAGATATTGACCTCAAAGGTTCATTATTCTCGATAGGTTAATTATTTTATGACCAGTTCTTAAATTATATTTTAAAATAAATTCCTTGTCTTTTAGAGCAAATAATAAGTTTATTTATCGTATTCTGCTATTTCCTAATTTTAAGTCGTAATATGTTGAAAGTGTAGTTTTAATTGGTTACAGTTTGTCACTGTTGTAGTATGTGTACTCGAATATGATATGTCGGAGACGTGATTTCAGGGTTTGCTGGTAAATATCAACATATATATCAATCGATATATATCCGTTGATATTTATAATATTTATTGATAGTTTAAGTATTAAGTTTCAGTTAGAAAATTAACCAAGCCGATGTAATGCTGGCAACATTGGTCCGTAGTAGCAATCATACATACTCGAAATTTCAGGTTTTCCTCTATACGTTACTGGAAATCCTCGCACGCATACTACTTTTTAATTTTTTTATATAGACAAATATTAAACTTCTATGTTATATTTTCTCCCTTTTCACATCCATATTTGCAGCAATTCTAAATTATTCGATAAAATGACAATATTTATACCTATAAATTAAAAAATAATTAAATTTCTACTATGCTCACTATTACTTTACTTATAACTCTATGAATTATGTACGTTTAACGTCAATAAAAAACTTTTATATTAATGTTGGAATTTGGCGAAAAAAAAAGTTACAGTAATAAGTACGACCTATTGATGATATTATGATTGCCTAGTTCTATTCAACACGTTATTTATTATGAATAAAGAAATTAAAAGTAAGAACTCGCATTAAATGCCAATCAAAAAGATCAATTAAAATTGAACAATTATTTCGCTTTTTTAAATCGAATGTGTGAATGTTACTAATGTAGTTGTAATAGCCTTTTTGATAGCGTTAATACTTATGTTACAATGTTAACATAAAATATATTACAATGGGCATTGTCTATTATAAATGGAGATTTTTTTTTATCTACAGTGATAATGAATAGATAATGGTAGCGATTCTGTTGTACAAGCCAGTCTAAATTTTGTTTAAGTCCTATCAAACTGCGTTTTTAAACGTAACAGAAGCAAACTTATTATATTAAAGTTATAATGAAGGAACTCTAAAGTTAACCCAAATTAATTATCGTTTTTTATATTTTGAATGTTTTTAGATAGAATGGTACAATATAATTGGCACCAATGTCGTCTATTACTATATTAACAGGCCCCAAGCCTTCAAGATATATGCTTTAGTTGAAACTGTATGATTGTACAATGTTTTCTTAACATTTCTACATTTTGTTATGATGACAATTAGTTGAAATTCGACTTCGTTTAATCACAGCGGCATTTGTAATTGGAAGATATTGAAATGTGTAAACTCCGACAAATAAATGTTCACATTGATTTCGTTGTTTTATTTGAATGGTAACTTTCGCTACATTCGGTTGAGTTTTAAGAATGCAAATCCGTCTTTACAGTACAGTACAATACTGTATTGTCATGTATATCTACAACTTTTCCTTTATATTTTCCCTTTACTAAAAAGAAACTTATAACCGTCGTTTAGTTACACAAGTTCTGTTCACGTCATTACAATGTTTTCGAGACAAAACATTTGAATACTATACATTGGTTATTAGTAAGGACTATAATTTTTATTTATCTTTTACCATTAGTTCAGTACCTACAATAGGATACAACAATGTATAATAAAGAATCGTTGAAGAATTCAAAAAGCATGTCTGAGTCCATATTTATGTTATTCCGCTAGTGTAGTATTATGGGTACTACAAAAAATGGTGATCAGTATAGACTTATTTGAACTAATTAATAAATTGCGCCATTCGCCACCCTCTTTCCGAATCTAATTCATCGTCTTGGCTACATGCACCTTCTTAAATGACCGTACAATAACTGAACGCAGTACCTACAGACAGCTTTGTGTGTAGTAGCAATGCTTAAAGTGTAGAGAAAATTATTGTTACGGACGGCGAACATGAAGACCCTTCCCCGCGACCTCACCCCCGCAACGAGTGGAGGGGGCACACCACGGGCAGCAGCGACGGGAGCACCCCCCCGCGACCTCCCCGCCGCATAGTGGAAGGGGCACCGACATAACATGAATCTATTAGGTCAATTAACGCGTTAGGATAGTAGCTAAGTGCGAACGAACAAATCCCACTTAAGTAAACCCGATTTGTATGAAAGCATGCCTACGAACGTTTTCGTACTTTGTACTGCAAATAAGAAGAAAGAATAAACGCCTTCAAATCTCCAAACTGTTGTTTCCATCCCCAACAATTATAAATATTTAGAGTCGCTTTGTAGTATGCCGTAGCTTGAGCGGAGCGGAGGGAGCAGTCCAACCTGGGCCTGGTATTAAGTATGTCTATGCCACCGACATTGTAGACAACTTAGGTGGATTTATTCAGAATATGTGGTGACATTATAAACATATATCTTGGAGGACAGCTGCGCAACGTTCCTGCTGTTGAGCTTGGCGGGATTACTATTTCTTACCTTCTTGACGCATAACTATACAACTTAGAAAAACCTTTACATGCTTGTAGAGATTTTTCCTAGTTGGATCTAGGGCCACGAGTAGCTCAACGGTTAAAGCAGTCGCCCGGATTGCGAAAGGTAGTGTCCGTGCGGAAGAGCACGGACACTGCGTGCATGCGGGCCTCTGGAGCTGGTGGATTTTTTAATTTTATTTTCGGATTTTATGTGGAGTACTGTTTCTTTCTTGTGTCCGGTTTCGTAGTTTTAGCAGGCGTCTTAGCAAGCGAGGAGGGGGGGGGGGGTGTAATATCAAGTGTCTGACCCAGTTGGTGTAGGTCCGGGCCTAATGCCACCCCCGACGGGTTGTGACCTAACACACTCTAGTCCTAATAGCTGAGACCTAGGAAGAACAGAATAAACTAAAACCAGTTTTTGCTTAATAGTTTCCAAATTGACAAAGGTATCAAAATATTAATTAGTATCTACTTACTACCGTTTGAGATTGGTCATTGTTACAATTGTTATCATGTGAAATACCAATTATTTCATTATGATACATACAGAAACTCTATTATCTGACATCGAACGACCTACTATCAACGCTTGACCACCTAATCGTGTGACGTCATTTCCACCGACTCATCAGTTGCGTTTTGTTTACCAACAATACCACACCGATTTCAGCAGTTAATTCCATTTGATCGACAAATGCGGCGCCTGCGACGGCGACTAAGGACGGGCTATGATGATATTGACCAAAACAGTGAGTACTATCCTAAACAATATCTTTATTGAAGCTATAAATCGTTTAAAAACCACACCTATATTGACAATGATACAATTCTACGGTACGGAGTACATTATACTTTTTAGATAGGTATATTCTTTTGCTAATTTATATTTGAATCAGATATGTCCACACATAAAAGATGAATTTGTTTTTTGGTATCGTCTTACACTGTTATCAGGTCAAAATCATTTAGCAGATATAGGTAATATTAAGCCATTTAAATGTGTATAGGTATTATTCAAGGTGTCTCGTTGTTTTACAGAATGGTTTTTAATCGATAGTCTTGATAAAGCTACCTATCTTATACACCTACAATTTTATCTGCATGCCATACGATCAATCAAGGGACAATTTCCGATTTGCCTTTTTGAATGTTTAGGTAGTCTTAAGTAAAGGGTCTTTGTGAGGTCCGCGATTACAGAAGATTATCTAATTCTAAATAGATAGGTACTGTGCCATTCAAGACGTGAAAAAAAATCTCAAAGTAACCATAGCATTAGTTTCATTTCTTGTTATAATTATGTATTATAATAGATGTCAAATCGTAATTCTCTATCTATGTATCTTATAGCCGGGGTAATATAAAAATCTGTTGAAGGACAATTATATTTATAAAGCTTATTTGTGCATATACGTGTTTTAAACAGACTTGAAAAAAAAATGATAAATAATCTTTATAACTAGAAAGGCAGTAAACAAATTTAATAAATCTCATTTATAGCCGGGGACGTGTATACCACACGTCTATCAAATCCTTAATTCAAATAAAGTACCTATATTGAATTTGTAACTGCCTTTGTACTTTTTAAAGTTATTTTCGGGAATTTCAAAATTGTTTTTATTACACAAAAATATCAGTTTTGACAACGTCATAGCAAGGGAAGGTGACATCACATTATCGAAGACTTTTTCAAACTATTGCCCCAATATGAAACAAAATGTTCCGGGAGAAACGAAACCTTGCCGAGTTTCTTGCCTATTCATTCATTCTTCTCAGTACAAGGTCTCCCTCGTAGATTGCGAAGCTCAAAAGACTACCGTAGCCCGTGGCATTGTATTGATTTATAAGTAACAGCAGATAATTATTAAGTAACATTGATTTTTAACAGAGTTCAAAATCGAAAAAGATGAGGTCTTATGTTCGACGGGTATGTTTTTTATGTAAGTTCACAGATTTCTCCACAAATGATTGACCTATTTTTATAAATTGCTTAGATTCTAGCTCAGGCCAGTGGGCGGTGTATCTAGCATGGCTTACATCTGTCTACCGCTACGTGCATCGCCGGTATTTGCGTCGTCTACAATACCTGGCAACGTCATGGCGGATGTTAGGTAAGTACTAATTTTCTACAAAAAAAAATTATATCACTTTTTATCCAATCAAATATCAAAGACGCTAATGTTCGTAATTCGACTATAAAAGCGAGTTTTGGTCTCTTTATTGTTCAGAATCTAAAGTTAGTGTGTAAACTTTAATCATTTCAAAAAATGCGCTTTATTATTTTGTTCTATTTTCCTAAGTATTTACTTCAAAATCAGAAAGGAGTAGTTTCTATGTTTGTTTATATATGTTCACTGATTCCTCAGCGAAATGTAGACATTTTTAAAATATTTTTATTTCTATATTAAAGCTTCCGAGCCTTTTGGGATGATCCCATAAAATTTAACAATGAAATAACTGAAAGCGTTCTGCCAAATAATAAATTAAGGCAACACATTTGCATATTCGAAGTAAAGAAAATAGCATATTTTACTTTCTTATGATTTAAGTTACAAAAGTATATTAACATCAAATATTTAAACAATACTTTCCAAAAATAGACCTTTGAGAAAAGCTTTATTAATTTCTTCATAATATGTACTTTTATTAGGTTCTTTTTCATCTTCAGGTACAATTTATTTAAATGGCTATTACATAACACACTGCATGTATATTAATAACGATTTGACTAATGCAATTTATATAAATTTTAAATAAAATCAATATCATAATTGCTCATCACATTATCATATTCAAAATTAAACTGTTATTACCAAAACAAACTGTATGTAATACAGGGTTTCTCAAAGTGGGGCTCGCTAACCACTAGGTGTTTGCCATTCGACTTGGGTATTCACCAACCTCTAGGGGTTTGCCATGCGACTAGGGGAGCCGCGACAATAATAACTTAATGGTGCTCGATGACTTTACGATGAAGATTAAAATTGACAAAAAATACTTCTAAAATTGACCCTATTTGCGACAAAAAACAAGCCCATCCATCACATTAATATAAATGAAATATTTATTTTATTGCACTGTATGTGTTAGGTACCTTTTATTGATATAAAAGCTTTATTTTCTTCAACAACTTTAATTATTTTCTTTGGGGTATTTGATTATTTAGTAAGGGGTTCGCTGTCATCTGGAATCTTTCAGGGGGTTCGTGGAGATAAAAGTTTTAGAAACCGTGATGTAATACAACCACGGCTGAAGCCAATAGATTAAAATTAGAAAAGTTATAGTCACGAAAAGGTTATTAATCAAGAAACTGAAGTCACTTAAGTGATGGCTCCCCACGGGGCACCTCAGTCTATTTCATCAGGCACCATTGTACCACGACAGTATATTTTTACTACGTCTAAATTGATTGTGTTTCAATTCAACGCTATTATGAATAAATGGTCAACCAAACTTCTAATACTACTATGTGGATATTACTTTGTGGAAATTCACGCGTGCGAAGCAACTAACGAACAGCTAGTTTTTGATTATATTGAAGGGTTTGAAACGCGTGGGTTTTCTATATTTTAATCAAATATATTTTGAGTTGTTTTGGAAACTTTATTGGTTCGATAATAACGGTGTCGAGAGTCCCTGCTGGATCCCATGTCCTTCCCCCAAAAGTGAGGGTGCAAGCGGCAGGGACAGTGCATGAAGGTTTATTTAAGGTTACGTGATATGTTACTAATATGTAGTATATAAATCTAATGTGAACTATATAGTTACATATTAGATATATAGACGTGTACGACTACCTCGCTTCCGGAATCCGGACCCAGTTGTCCAATGTTGGCTACGAGCGGAAGCTTTTAACCGCTGCGTTCAGCGGCATTAAATTTGTTTACACCCGTTGTTTATTGTTATTTCTGATATCCTTAAAAAATAGTCATTGACAACTGTAATTTATTTATTGAAGGAAACGAACAGTCTTACACAGTATACTTATTGTTAGTGAAATATTCTTAAAAAAAATCACAAATAATATTTTCCAGTATAGCATTATGAATGCAAAATTGATCAAATATAATCGAATATAAACATTCTTACACAATCCAGATAAAACAATAAAAATATATAACATAGACCTAGAGTTCCTTTAATTAAAAAACTATTTAAATGATATTTTATCGTGAAACGTGAAAGCGAAAATTTATATTTATATGTAAGTTCATGTGTCTAAGGTAATATAAATGTAAGCTAATGACATAAGTATTGTTATTAGACCTTATTTAGACCACGTAACTTAAATGAAGTATGTAGTTGAAATAATTTATTTAAAATAATCAAATAATATTATATAATAAATGAGTTGCCTTTGGCGTTATAACTGGAAGCATTTAGGAGGAAACATATTTTGTTGGTGGCATTTCCAAAGCAAAAATGTCGGCCTTACTTTGAGCATCAAAAGCCTTGATATTCACTGACATTTAAAAAAAATAGAACACACAATATTGTTACCTACATTACAAAGCTGAATATATACGCTGGCAGTGGCGAATGAAAAATTTATTGTCAAAAAAGTTATCAAGAAACCACTGCTTCTGGTGGAATTTTAAATTTATTTCAATCTTTTCATTAATGACTGGAATATCGGAACAGAAACTATTTGATAGTATTCTTATGATTATTATTATATATTTATTGATTGTGAACATAAATCGGTTTGTTAAATTAGTAGATTTCGTTATTCATGTTAAATATTTCTAGAGTGGCTTACACGTCTCTGCAGCTCTTGATTCCCGCGGTCGGACCAAAGCAGAAAATTATTTTTTATATCAATTCGGAACTGAGTGTTATATTACCTTCATTGTCTCAAATTGCCTTAATACTAGTTATAGCTACTTAATTTGGGATCTGAGCAGTGTATATGTGATGCTGTCTAATTATTAAAAAAGCACATTAATTACTGGATGAATAGGGATGATGACTGGGTAAAAAAAAATGCAATTCTATTTAGTCCGTCAGTCAGATAATAGAAAAATATTAGATACGTATTTTTTTTTACTTCAATTTAACAAGAAATAGCTTAGATAACAGGCATTAAATTTGAGGAGTGGGGGCTCGCTACGTCACAGTTGAGTAGAAAACGTACTCTAACGTGACGTCATGCGAAATTTCAACTCAATGTAACGCCGTAATTTTATGATTACGAAAAAAATAAAATAAAATACGTGTTTAATCTTTTTAAACTCTCTACCTGACGGATAAACAAACAAAAATTAGTCATCATCCTTACCACGAGTGATATACTTATTATTTCTTCGGCCTTTCGGGCCTTATTGTCTAAATTTAAAATCTATAGCAATCCCTTAAATTTGAAAGATATTTAATGAACGATTCGTTAATTTGACATAAATTGTAATTTGCTAAGGAAAGGATTACATGCAAATATTATTGTTACAAATTTTTTATTATGTTTGTTAATAATTGAATTCATTATTCGTTCCGAAAGCAATTGGAACTTTAAACGCTACGTAATTCCATAATTCGATATTATAATCGCTATGTGTTTGAAAGAGTTTTCGATAGATTTAGAAATTAGACAGCTATCTCACCGGTCTTAAGATTGTGAAGTGAGAGAGCATTTGGAATGAACAATGAGCTGTAAAAAAATGTCTCTGTTACCGCGTGAACTATACATAGTAATTTTTTTTCTATTTTAATTTTATATCCAATTTATTTAATTAGTCTGTTATCTCGTCTGTTATAAATTTAAGTTTGCGTGTGCCATTAAAATACCAAAACTTTCGTGAAAAAAAATTACTAATTAGACTACAATGAAAAAGTTCCTTGACGTCGCCATAACATTAATATTCGTAGATAATAATATATTTAGAATCACAAATAAGATATATCAACTGAAACCATAGCATTACACTTGATTAAAAATAAAACGACTTCAACCAAAACAAATGCTTAATATAAAAGGATTTTGAAGCCTTCTAAAAAGTTTTGGAATCAAATTAGAAGTAAAAACAATACCAACACAGATCGAAGTTTCATCAAAAACTACGTTCGAATTGGTTCGTTCGTCTTAAGAAATCCCTGCTTTATTTATTTCTTTCTTGTACACCAACAGTAATTGCTGTCATTAGTTTCTTGCACCCCAGACGCAGAGGACATCTCAGTTCGTTCAATAAATCTTTGGAAGTGAGTTCCGTAAGTAAGTTATGTAAGCCGACTTAATTTAGAAATAAAAAAACAGAAAAAATATCTAATGCAATCTAAAATGCATGTAATAAATGTGCTAGGTAACGTAACCGACAGAAGTCTATATAAAAGACTCTTCAGTTAACAAAATTTTTTTTAGTAAATAAAATATTAGAAATATTTACCCACATTAGAAAACATAGCCATAGTAAAGAATAAATGTACCTTGTATAGAAGATACAATCCGATCACCTTACAAAAATTAAAAAATATTAAGCTAACTCATGATATGGGAAAAAATGTAGGTTCAAATTTCTTCTATTCAAGTACATAGATTAGAAGTTTTATTTTTTAAGCCAAAGAAAAATTGCTAGAGTTTTAGAATTCAATATAAAATTTGAAAAATATTCAATTTGTCTACTATATTTTTAACACAGCAATAGCAGGTAACCGCCTTCTATAAGTTATTCCATTCGCAGAAGCTTTCGGAAACCAGTTAATGAGCCAAACGTATGCATTTCCTCATTTGCCTCATCGTGGTGTGTATGATGTGCTGTAGAAGGATATGCGGCTCATTAATTTAATTTTGCTAATTAATAAGATGAATGGATCATAATCGTTTACAGTTAATCAGTTCCTTGGGCTTTGTACAGCCGCACTGTAGAAGGACGTTGTGATTGACATTTAGCCGTGCAAATGAATGGCTATATTCTATTATAGAGCTAACCGCGTAATTGGACAGACGATGGACCCAGTAAGCTACGGCATATTCGTTATATATTAACCTCAATTTTGTTTTCATTAGTTCACCCAATATCTCCTCGTAATCAAACTTGAAAAAAAAAAACGATGAGTTTAAAAATCGTTATAAAAAAATTGACCAAGTAATTGTGATTTATATTGTTCTTAGTCTATTTAA